GTATGAATAGCAGTTATAAAGAGATTTGGCTCCTTGGTAGGTGGCATGTTACATATTTTTAAGAAATATTATTCTTCCCATATAAATGCACAACAGATGTAACATTCAACCTAAGCAATAAGATTTATTACTGTTTTTAAAGCAAATTCAGCACAGCTTTAGAGAACACTGTACAGAATTCTTTAAGCTAGGAAAAGGTTCTTCTTGTCATCAATGCATGCTTTGCATTTGTCAATTCTTGCCCTCAAAACCAACCAACGGTTTAGTATTTCAGGCTTTTTACAAAGGTGATGATCCTGCAATTCAATCTGCTAATGTAGCACATAGCAGGCTCCCTCCAGTCACAGCAGTCTTGGGCTCATCTCTTTGCTTCTAGAATCAAAAGAAATCTGCATGGCCTCTTTGGTCTCTTTTTGAGCCCCCAAAACATTTCACGTGATTTATGTCAGGCGTTATTCCAACAGCACATGCAATCTAAAGCAAGTATCACATATTATTTGGCAATGAAAAATAAACATTACAGCTGTGATCAAAGAACGTGTCTTGCTTATATTGTCTTACATTAATTTCTTTACCTCATGCACTTTTGTATAAATATTTACGGTTTCATATTTTCTTCAGAAGCCACAGTTATTTTCTAAAAATAACCTGCTTATGCATAATCTTCTCTTTCCAAAGCACAGTTCTTCCTTTTGTTCAGTTCATTTCCAAGATCTCTGTGCATAAAAAGTGTGAAAAAAGGATATATGCAACTTCACTAATAAACATGTTGAAAGTACCTAAAAATGAGGAACAATTCTTGGATAAACACCTTCAATGGTAAACAGTCCTGTGAGAAATGAACAGGCCTCTGTTATGCAGAAATTTTGCATTTTGTATAAGGGCACGAAACATGAAAATTAAAACGTACCTGAGAATAATATTAAAATCTCATTCCAAGAAAATTTTTGTTGTTCAACAGCTTTAACTATCAAGTAATTTTACAGTTTTTGCATTTCACTTCATGTGACGGATGGTCCAGTAGGCAGCCCCTGACCAACACTCTCCCAGGTGAATCGTGCAGCTGACACTGTTGTATTCACGCCGGAGAAATCCATGTATCTGAAAGTTTAATTCCTACACCACCATGAACAGAGCCAAACACTTAAACTGTGAATCTCTATACAGCCTACAAAGAGAATTCTAGCATTAATAGACCACTTCCACCTCGTTCTTCTATTACAAACAACTTGTAATCAAAATCGTTTTCTGATCTCAAATTCAAAGCACTGCAACAAATTTGGGGCTGCCCAAGCACATTCTCTTCCCAAAGGCATGGGACAAAGTTCTTGGACACTTCTCTAGAAGACCTAGGCAATATTAGGAATGCTGCAGATCTCAGATCATATCAAAAGCATCCCCTGAATTTAGGTGGATCCTTTTCCAATTAATCACAACCACATCTGCCTGCAGATTCTCTCCGAATTGGTGTTCCCCATAACTCTTCTAGTCCAAGAATAGCTCATCTGCCAGCTCCCTAGACAAAGAGCACTTTCAGTAGCCCTTTAGGAGGTATGCTGATAATATTTAAAAGAGATTGTAATCCCACCGAGTGTCTCATGTTGGTGATTGTGTATCAGTCAGGACAAGCAGTTTCCAGTCTTTTTAAAGGGATGCAGCTGATCCCTGCCAGAGAAAAATCACATTAACTCTTCATCTCTCGTTACTGGCTGTCAATCAGGGTACTGACATCCATACAGATGATGCATATTGTATTTGAAGAGTATCTGTGTGTATTTGTAGTGAGTATCAGAAATAGATCCACAGGCCAGGAAAGTTTCTGCCTGTCTAGTGCCCAAGCACTGCTTTAATTTTTCTTTCATTTAACATTGGCTTTCCCTGATTGGTTTTACAAAAGTAGTAGCAGTGGAAGAGCTGTCCAAAGCAAGCAGCTTGGCCTGTTCACACATCCTCTTTATGATATGGTTTTATGCTGAGACTTTCTGGTATCTGGAACAGTGTCTGGCTTCCTTAAACACAATGGGACATGCATCTCTGCTGTATCCCACCAGGGATTCAAACCTGGTATCCCAGAGAAAAGAATGCTATTTTCACTCCTAAGATGAAGGAGTTCATAGCCATGCCTGCTGTATGCTGTTCTGCAGTGATGAAAAATTGATTCTCTGCCTCCATGCAGAGACAGATTCTTGGACTCGAAGAATGTCCTCAACCAGAGACCGAGATCCTTGAGGAACTGAGCACCAGACTGCCAAATATTAACAAAAGATTAACTAGGGCGTATCTCAGAATGAGGACTGGATACTTCATTATATAGTGCATTTTTGCCTATCCTTTGAGAAGATTTCAGTACAAGGTGTGGGGATTTCAAAGTGCCCATATTAAGGAGTAAATCACAGAGAGGCTCATCAAACCACAGGCACAAGTGAGAGGTTTTTGAAGTTCTGTATCATCTGTGTATGTCAAATGAGAGACTATTCTACAGAGAGAAATGCAAATGATAAATTATATTGCTTCAAGAAAAAGATTTTATAAAAATTGTTTAAGGTTTACCTTTTCAGGTATTTTGAAAACTCCCTGTAATATCCAATAACGTTGTGGCTGACAAAAGAAGAAGAGGGAAGAAAAAGACATAAAAATATTCTGGAAACTGGATAGTTAATCATTCATGTTGTCTACAATTCCTTTGGCTCAAGATAATCCCAAGACAGACTCTGGCTTTATAGTAAGGAAAAAAAATTTCTCTACTGTCCTACCATCTCTCATCTACAGCACATGATGGAATCCAGAGTCACAAACTGCCAGGACTTCACAGGCAAAGGGCATGTTCTAAAGCAGAGCATTTCATGGCTCCCTGACACCCCACAGGCAGCCCTTTTCCCTAAAGCAAAGAATCTCACAATATCATTTTGCGTGACATTCTTTAAATATTTTGACTTAACACTCCCAAAGCACATTCATTTCAGTCAGATTGTGCACATGTGGGTTTTGGGGGATTGTTGACATTTGGGGTTTTTTAACTTTTTCCTCAGCTCGATATTCTGCACTCTTCCTGGAGCTGGCCATTGTGATTAAAGATTCTGCTTTGTAATGAAACAAGCAATGTACTTCAATGCTGAGAGACAGCAAAAAGAGGCAGTCAAAACATGTGGTGATTCTTATTTTCCTTTCACAAGTGACAAAACAGCATATGCAGTTCAACACCCAGATCAGTTAATTTTATCTGGAAAAGCAGCTTATGTAAGTTCACATTTGCTATGATTATAACTCCCCTAACACCAATTTCCTATGTTAAGCCACTGTGGTGCCCACATGGATATTTGGGAATATGGGCATGGGGCAACATAAGCCACCAGTTATCAGCCTTTGTTTTATTTTGCAATACATTCATGATTCTCTGTCCTTCCAATGGCAAAATCATGCTTGCTTGGCAGTGCTGGTATCTGATATTCCATGATTACCTCGGCTTCAAAGTGAGACAGTAAATGCACATTTTTATTATTCTCCCTTTAATGTAGTACAAAGCTGGACACAGCTCAGAAAGAAACACCTAAAATCCACTACCTATTTATGATCATGTACAAATGGGTATTTATTATGTTAAAAGAAAACCATATGTTAAAGTGGAGGCCAGAGCCCAATAAATCTTTTTGGATGAAAATCCTTTTCAAAAAAAAAGGAATAAAATAATTAACGTTTGCTTTTGCCAGTAGAAACATTTGCTCATGAATCTTCTGGGAAGGGAAAGGCATGTAACCTTTTTACATGCCATTCCCTCAGACATCTCTGACCCCACTGCAAAATAGACAACAAAGATTCCCGACTCCACACTGCTGATTAAACTCTTGTACAAAACATCTGGACGAAATTTTCTTGGCAGTTGATTTGTAAAGTATACAAGAAGCAGAACTAGGGAGCAGCCATAGTTCAGATGAGTGACACCAAGATTATGCTATGCAAAAGCAGATTTTACCTTGAACACATGAACTCCTAAATATTAGCCTGTGACTGTGCAAGCAACCTCATCAGCAGAAGAAAAATATAAATCTGTCTTCTACTCTGCATGCCAGTGTAGAGAAGGCAAATGGGCTTTGAAAGAAACCCAACCTGACAATCTTGTTTTTTTAATAAAATAATAAAGGGCTTAAACAGTTTACCTGCCTAATACCTAACTTCAATTGACAAGTAAGAGTGAAGTCATCAGTGCCCTTAAGTTCCAAAAACCATTTCTTAAACTTGTGAATGATTTCCAAACTTCTATGGTTTCTAATAAATTCCCCAACAAACTGGATGTATTGCTTTCCTACTTAGTGTCCCAGTCAATACACCCCCAGGCCTAAATTTAGCAAGTGACCTGTAATTTTCATAATGTGACATTCAAAATTAAGGGCATCCTGCCCCTCTGCTGCTTGACCTTAAAGAGCCTGTCCAATGCAGCTCAGCAGATTGCTCCCTTTTGAAAATATGGACACTGGAATTCTCACCATTTTCCACATGTACAACAGGCCTAAAAAGAAGACATTTTCACTGTTGCTATTAAGTAGCATCAGTGAAAAACCTATGTGAACCAGACCAACTTTACTCTGTAGCTGCTGGGGAGAGGAAGGCAAAAAAAGGAAAGAAAGCAGCAGTACAGAAGCAGCCTTAGAGTCTGACACAAAGGTGCAGGAAACAGGAAAGCATAGGGAACATTCTGCCTCAGAGCTGCCAGGCTAGGAAAATTCCAGAAGGAACAGGCAGAGATCCTCTGGCCTTTTCCAGAAGCCAAGGCACAGAGTGCTTCAGATTTATCAGACTCAATCAGAATGACAAAATGAAAGCTTCAACACTGCACAGGGCCAGTAGTCTGTAATTTACTGTGGTTATGGAAAATTTGATGGGGTATAGGAAAGACTTTTTATTTGGGACACTGCTGAAAAGAAATAGATTATTAATTAGTATGTGTTTAAAATCGACTGGTGAATATTTTTAAATCATAAAGAAATTAACACATAGAGACAAAATCTGGTCTAAACGTTTTATCTCCAATCCAAAGTTCACATTCTAAAGCACCCCTACTGCTTTTTGCTACACCACTGTGATTCCAGTAGACCTAAAGGAGGGGCACCTATTCAAATTAGTACTGCTATTGCTTCCTCTCTAAATGAACTTTTCCACAAACACCTTGTTCTATAGAACCCTTTAGGTTGGAAAAGACTCCTAAGATCAAGCACAACTGTTAACCCCGTGTTCACTGCTAAACCTTGTCCCTAGTGCCACGTATTGTTAAAACACTTCAGGGATGTTGATTCTTCCCACTTCCCTGGGCAATCTGTCCCAATGTTTGAACACCCTTCCCATGAGGAAGTTTTTCCCAATATCTAGTCTAAACCGCCACTGGTGAAACCAGTCTTCAAAGTTTAGGAAAAAGATCTGTTAGATAAAGAAATTTCAGCATGGAACATGAATAATCAACTCCAATGCAGACCAGAAATACAATCACAGAGTGTAACAGTAAGAAGTTTGAAGTTTTTCTTCTTCTATCAAAATAAAATATTGCAAATATTTTGTACCACATTATTCAGTACTACCACTGGAATGGTAATGAATGAATAAAAACCAAAGAGATTATCCCACGTATAATCCAATATCCATCAATAATAACAGAAATAAGTTGCCATGTAGAACATCTACATGAGAGGGCCACACGACTTGTCCAGGCAGGAGCTAATATTGATGTAGGTTTAGGGTAGCCACCTGCCAGGCAAGCCATTGTAACTCAAGTGAGTTGAATTCTTGGCTATGAGAAACAATTTAAGACTACTGCATCAAGGGAAAACCTGCCATGTTTTAAGACCCTTTGACATAACCAGTGTATGCATTGCAACTCCAACAGACACCTCCCTCTACACATTTGGTCTGCACCAAATAGGGAAGATGTGCTAATATTCTAATCCAGCAATTTGTATGCAACCAACAAACAATTAAACTGAACTGTGAACAGCAGGTGATTGGAAAACATGGAACCAAGGCTTACAGTGTATCAAGAAATATCCTTACACTTAAAAAATTATAATGCACTCCAAAATCCATTTGTTCAGGCAATCCATGTACAACAGAAGGCACTGTTATCCATATGAATCTATCAATTCTGCACAGCAAAAACCTGAGAAGTGCAACTCAATTAGATGCAGCCTGGCCCCTCCTGGTCATCCAGGTTCTTTGAGGACAAACGTTTCCTTTCAGTCCATCAAATTATAAAAACACCACAAGAATTTGTACATTACAGTAGCTGGTTAGAAAGAGCATTCTGGTGGGGGAAGCACACCACTATTTTCCAGAAAACATTCAGCAGCATTAAATTACTCTCCCCTATCACTCAGAAGTCACGATGGTTTCAAGAAAATGTAATGATGAGACCCTTCCCATTGACCTTTGTAGCCGATTCTTCAGTTGCCACTGGGAGTACTTCCAGCAAAATTAAATGCTGTGATCAGTCCTTTGTTGTCAAATGTGTAGCCACTTTGTTGTTCTATTGTCTTAGTCTCTAGAATTCAAAGAAAAAGGATATGAAAAACAGTCTATAGAGCATACCTTTGTCAGAGACAATACAGTTCAGCTAAGAATGAAAAGTTACAGAAAAAACTCTTCAGCTGAGTCAAAATTTCATTCTCTAAATGCAATGACAGGAATAAACTACACTCAGGTTTTCTCTAAAAGCATAAATGTGCACACCTCTACAACAGAGTTGAAAAATGAATCCTTTACCAAATCAGTCTATGCTACGCTATTCTGCAGATTTATTTTCCATGATGCAACATTTCTACACATCTAAAACCTCACACTAACTGCGAGGGCAATATAAGTAGTTAAAAAGTTAGAAAACTGTTAAATGCATAATAGTTGATAGTAATCTTCATCAAATGCCCAGCTGCACATAGATACTGCCTTAATTTGTTCTTCATTTCAAATGTCAGATTGTGTAAAACTAGTTCATACCCTGTTCAAGCAGCAGCACAAGTCAATGAGAAGGCAATTAATTAGAAACAACAGTAAACTTACTCTGAATAACACACACTTCCAGGCAAGGAATTATGTAATCATGATATCCTGCTCACGCTTCCTAGAAAACGTTAATTAGCACAGAGGTTGTTGTTACAGATTAGAATCAGTTCCAAGGTCTCTGCAACAGCTGAAAGGGGCCCAGGGAAATGACTCACCTGCAGCAGCTCTCCGGTGTTCTGCTAATGTGTAAATCTCCTGCAGCTGTTTCTTCTGATCCTCACTCAACGGCGCAGTCAGGGAATGGTACCAGGCTGCATCCCGGCTCTGCACCGCTGTCAGGCAGCAAAAGTGACCATCAGCTTACATTCAAGCTCATTTCACAATAACAAAATGAAACACAGGAAAATTCTGGTTGGCTTTAAAACAGAATCTGCACTGCAAAACAAGATCAGTACTCCTGATGGTTTTTCTTGCACTGAATTCCCACTCTAACAGAGGCAATCCATTTTGGGGAACTTAATTAGATCCTCTGCTTTCTGAAACAGAAAGTTAACCATGTGGCCATTATTCATGGGCAATGCGAACGTAATCTTCTCAATTAAAACTCCCATGAAAACTAAAAGCAACAGGATTAGTGACACAGGAAAGGGAGAAAATAATTTTCCCATTAACATCTAGAAGGTGACAAATTTTTCTTTATATATGAATCCCTCTAGTGACCAAGCCCTATTTATTTAGACTGTGACTGAAAAATTCTGAGGGAGAACATGAAGAGAATTAATCTCTGGCTGTATTTGCTACCATTTGCTTTTTCCAGCATTAGTAAGCAAAAAAATTGTAGGACTAACATTAGAAAACGAGATCACATTTTACAGTTGCAGTAACCTAAACTATTACTTGTAACAAAGAAAAGGGTTTTCCCCAGTGATGACCATAAACATCTCCAAACGATTTCATCATGTTGTATTATTCTGCTGACCAGCAAACACGTACTTAGAAGTGCTTGTGTAAAAAACTGGTATTCATCGACACCATTTTCAAGGTCAAGAGGTGTGCTGAACCCTTCAAGAGCAGTCTCTTCCAATGCATCTTCATCCCAGTCATCATCATCATCTTCATCCTCTTCCTCTCCACCTCCAGCACTGCCACCTCCTCCTCCACCATGGTTCTCTTGCATTGCCTGGCTCACTTCATTTGTCTCATCCTCATCGCTTGGTATCTCTTCTACAAAAGCATTGATATGTTTTGCAAAATAAAGTTTAAAACTATAAGGAAAAAATGACTTATGAATTAAAAATAATTAGTAAATCTAGGTTTTGGCTGGAAGGGAGACCCTCTGTTAACACCCTTTCCCCAAAATCTTCCAAGTCTTAGAAAAATGAAGCTGTTAAAACATTTCCTACATTCAGGATCAGGTAAACTTCTGTTTCTACGCAGACCTGACGAATGTGAAGCTGCCATCTTTTCTCTTCTTTCAGTTATGCAGTCATTGTGCAATTATAGGGTCCAAAATTTTTGAGGAAATGTCGTCTGTGAAATGGTCCCATCACTCTGCTTTTTAAATTAGAGACTTGCACAGAATTCACAAATGTACATTAAGCCATGAGGAATCCATCTATTTCTCAACTATCTGCCCTCTCTTGAGTGTTGCCTTATTTGAACAACTTAAACCAACATATTAAGTTGGTGTTACCTTCCATTCTGATTATGAAACTATGACCCTTTGAATTAAATGCAACTACAACCTGCAATTCTAAATACTATACTGCTCTTTCTTATTTAAGGAAAAGTATTTCTGACTTATAATCAAGAGTCAAAAAAACCAAAACCTTCATTTCCAAACCTGCAGCTCTTCCTGTGTTAACAGTTAGAAAGAATAAAGATGACTATAAGTGCAGCAAGCAGGGACAGAGATTTGAACATTCCTGGGTTGTTTCCATATTATATTCCTACGTAATGAGAAGAATTCTGTGATTCCATTACAGAACAAGAACAAATTAAATGAAATGTGAGTGGATTACATAATCTTCTTACATCCAATCTAATTTTCAGACCTCAAAACATCTTGTCAAGCACAAGCTTGACTCCTTGTCAAGCACACTTGCCTGCAATACTGTGCATAATTCCCTCCTCACAATTCCCTCTGTAAGGCATTCTTTGATGTTTTTTCTCTTCTGGCAGACACAGAGATTAGAGGCCTGTGTGCTCATGGAACCTCGGCTGTCTCAAACCCCACTCTGCACGTAAATTTCTATTTGGACAAAGAAGACCTGCCAGGATCTCCTTCAAAATTCAGTCAAAAAGGTCTTTCAAACAGCTAGGTACCGGAACAGCTTCTTTCCAGGAAGTAAGAATATACCTAGTGGAGTCCTGGCAAACTCCTGCTGCCTATGTGAGAAGACAGGGCATATTCACAACCCAGCAGAGTAACCTGCAAGTTACTCTCGAACCAATACTACTCTTCCACAAAATGTTAGCTGTTACACCATGAAACATTTTGATTACAATTTGGGAGGAAAATCAACTCCAAAGATGGTATTTCAAGCACCCAGTAAGGTGAGCTATTTTCAGCAGACTAATGAGTCTTAAAAACGAACTGCAATTTCTTACCCCCTTTAAATTAAATCCAGACAAAATCCACAATGTGAAAAGGGGAGATTTTACCATTATCTTCTGCAAAGTGTTTTTCATCTTTAGCATGATCCTCATGTTCTGTGAGCTCTCGTGAGGCGCAAACTTGTTTTAAGCCCAAGAAGAGGAGGAGGATTGAAGGAACAATCTGGGCAGCCACAGCGTCCACTGCAGGTGGTCGGTTCTGTAATTCCATTAGGATGCTCAGTCCTATTATACACATCTTTCTGTCGTGAAGTCTGAAACATGATACAATTGTTATACAAAAACCAGATTTTCACTGCAAAGATATACAGAGAACATTAAAATCCTGGTGCTTGACATGACAGAAGACAATGTCTCAAAAGGTATGTTCAAAGATCCTATACAAACTATTTTCTTCATTCTGAATCAAGTTTCCCACTGGAAAGTACTCATCCAATAACATCTTTCAAGCACCGGTCAAATTCCTGGAGCAACTTTTTCTGATTACCAAATGCAAACTTTGTAATGCTAAATAAATACCGTTTAATAATTATGTAGACTATCTTGTCTTTAATAAAGCATTTGATACAGATTATCATTATTAAATAGGATGGAAAATTAATTTGCCTTGGCTTTGATAGCAGTACTGTTTCAGGGATGGAAACTGGCAAAAACTATTAGCAAAGAGCAATGATAAGCAATGCATTGAATCGTAGGGTGCATTTATGGAATGCCCCAGGGATAGCTGAGGTTAAATTATGAGAAATCCATCAGAACGGCTGTCTTATACATATTTCAATATATAATTTCTAATGCTACCTTGAGACACATTGCTAACTCTGGTGAAAGCAGGGAAATGATTCCATCTTATCAAGTATAACTGGCAGTATACTCAAACTGGGAACTTTCAAATGAGTAGACCTCCAGTAAAACAAACTGAGACGGTTGAAGGGGAAGAAATCCATTGAATTAGTAGCAAAAAGGTTTTTATGTGGCCATAGTCAGGAAACTAGGTAAGAACCTATGCTTTTAAACATGAGAATTGATTTTCACTTCCAGAAACAGAAGTTTCTGCAAACAAGATGGAAAAAAAAATCTCTAAATGCCTCTGCAGATACTCTTTGGTTCTCCTTTACTGGAAACGTCAGAAGTATTCAACTTGGGGCTAACATTACAGTATTCTGTTATTATGGTCTTGAGAGGAACTTTTTTTGTTTGAACTATTCAATTTGATGCTGACAACTTCTGTGCAAGCCTTCTGCAGGACAGGTAGTGCCTAGAGAAACCAAGTAAACCTCCAGAGCTGGCAGAAATGGCCATCCTCTAAACTCCTGGGATATTTCCATTATTGAACCAGTTCTACTTCGGAATGAAGAGAATACAAGTTGAGAGAGAAGAAATAAGATGGTCACCACAGGCTGCAATAAAGCTAACAGAGGGACAACCAGCTCACTCCACCACTTCAAAAATCACTACAGAAATATAACTTTTAAGTGCTTAGCATTTCATTACCAAAGTTGGTATATAACATGTTACTGAACTATTACATCCTTTAAGTAACACAATCCTGTACTGCAGCTTTCTAAACTTTACTTGTGCTTAAATAAGGTTAGAGATCTGGAGGGACTTCATGACACGTCCCATGCTGTTAGTCCTGTTAGGATTTACTGAAGTGATTAATTCTCAAGCACAGTTGACAACAAAAATAAATTATATATGACCATGTAGAACATTATGATCCCAGCAGACCTTCCAAGAACAACAAAGCCAACCAGGGTATCAAATGACACACTTTGTTACATTGGGTTTGGCTGCTTGGTTACAGGTATTGAAAAATGCACCAAAGCATACACAGGAACAGAGCGCTCCTGTAACCATAATCCTTTCTTTTCAGATGGAATGGCACACAAAAGAGAGCATACAAACCAGCCAGGGAGACTGAGATGGAGGAACAGGGTCTTCTTTCATGAAAAAAATAAACATAAATCCCTTACTCCTCTCAGCTGAAATTACTTACTCCTGCATGTTGAAAACAAGCCATTTGCTCTCATGTCGACACTTTGCAGACCAAAAACCAAGCTAAAGATAATGCTACCTATAAATGAAGGATAGTTGTTATTTGAAGAGTTGTTCTTAGTGCAAGTACAAATGGAAAAAAGTTTCTCTAACCGCCTCTTTGTGTCAGCATTGCCATCCAAGTGTGACCAAAGCTCAGTAATCTATGCACAAGTTCTATCCTGCATGTTGACACTAGGAAGTCATGAAATTTCTTCAAGACTCAAATGTACAAAGAAGCAATTTCAGCCACATGCACCAGAGCAAACAAACAATTCCTAGCACTATTTTTTAATCATACATTTAAAAAAGCTACCATTGCACAATGCCAATTGCAAAATCCAACAGTAAAATCTAAAAAAATCTTAGTAATTGATGGATTAGCTTTATATTAAATTATCATTTTGGGACAGCAAACCAATGTACAAGAATGAAGTCCTGCTGTTTGCAGGGAGTTGTCATTGGGAAGCAGCCCAAATGACCAAAACCCACAGCATATTTGTCATGCTCCACTTTAAAGCTGCTAAACAGAGAAGCTGCAAGAATGAACATGTCTTCAGAATATGCATGTTATTAGAAGGCCCTGCAGGACAGCAGAAATTCAGGCACTGAGCCATCTTTAGTGAACCTGAGCCAGAAGGAGACTTTTCTTTCACCTGCCAGCAGAGACAAACAGCAGGAAAAGCATCTGCCTTGCCTGAAGTTCAGTATTCTACTACGCCCCAGATGTATTAAGGACCCATAGGACTGAGCAAGCAAAATAAGAGTTTTATATATTTTCATAATAGGAAAGAATGGCTTCAGGACCATTCAGTTGCTGTCAAAAGGCTCATTATTTCAGCACTCTTCCATCTGCTCAAGGGAGCCTGGATATGATTCTCCTTAGTAATTTGTGCTTTGAGATCTGTACTTATTTGCTCAGAAGCACACAATAGCCCTCCCTAACAATCAGGGACTCTGCTTACTCCTCAATGGTTTATCAAGCCTGGAGTGTTAAACATACAACACGGCAATGCACGACCCCAAGCCAAGTCTATTTTTAACAAGCTGTGTGTGGTCCTCATAATCTGCAGGACCTCTTCTTGCTAACACACTTTCTTCTAATACAGAACAATGGATTGTAAAATCTTTTGTATTTTAAACCAAGCTGAAAGTATTTCAGAGAAAAATCACTAAGCCTTTCCTTTTACTGGTTTTCTGTGCTCCTTTGTGAGAATCAAGTTTCTTTCTATTACATCAATCCAGCTCCGGGACAAACTCCAAATAATTAGCCACTTCCTTCTAGTTGCAAAGTTGGAACCAACATAAGACTAGGATTTTTATATACAACTCTGAGAAACCTACGATTTTTAACTATTCAAACTCCTATCAAATATATAACCCTATTCAGCTTCAAAAAACTCAAAATCACTTACTGAAGGGTTTTTTGAAGCAAGTGAGATTTTCCTTTCACCCTAGTTACCATAGAAGAATTTTTAGTATGAGAATAAGCATAAGTCATGTAGCTGTCAGGAAAAAGGCAGAAAGTGGTAAGGAGCAAATGTTTCTGCAAAAGGCTTTCCAGTGTGAAGTTATTGTAGAAAACATTTAGAAATAAATACCATATCCTGTGGCATATAGGGACTATCAGCACACAACCACAGATACGTGATACCCACTGTGACATACTGAATTTATGCACAGTCTTAGAAGGAGTTCTGAGTTCTCTTGCCTGGTTAATTTTTAATATGCCAACTTTGCAACACTTTTTCAATAGTTTCCACGTTTTTAACAACATGGAAGAACAGCAACTTATCATAACTCCATTTTTCCCATGGATTCCATCTCATATGTTCACATGTGCTGCATTCTTTTGGAAAACACCACTGGCTTCAGCCTGAGCATGTGCAGCCATGCACAACCCTACTGCTGGCAGAGCAAGATCTATGGGGACTACGACTTCACAGAAACAGAAAAAAGACAAGAGAATCACAAAATGGTTTGGGTTGGAAGAGACAGTAAAGGTCATCTAGTTCCAACCCCTCTGCCATGGCAGGAGCACCTTCTATTAGACCAGGCTGCTCAAAACCCCATCCAGCCTGACCTTGAACACTTCCAGGGATGGAGTGTCCACACATAAGAGTGTGAGATTTATGTGAACAAAGGTTCTTGAACAGCCACTGTCACCACCACTACATTCCAGATTTCCTGCATGGCTGACAAAGAAATGACAGCAAGATTCACATGGTCCTTCACATCTGGAGGTAGATCTACTTTGATCTAGTCCAGTTTGTCTAGGATCTGTGAGTTTACCAAATTATTTGGGCCTAAAAATGCCTCTTAATGGAAAGCAAGCTAAGTGTAAACCAAAGCAGCAAATGGCTGCTGATGAGAAAAAGGATTGTACAAATAAGGGTGCCCACTGCTTTCTGATGAAGACATGAACTTGTTAGGGAGGGACCCAAGAAAGGGTTCTAAGAACATCAAATTTGTTTTGCACTTCTGTCTTTTCCTGTTCAGTTAGGCCTCTGAATCTGGGGGTCCTTTACTACTCATAAGAAAACAAATGGTCTGCTAGAAGCAATGCTCTCCTGAGGGAAAGAGAGGAAGTCCCTTACAGCACATCACAGTGCCTCACCAGCAGAACTACAGAAAAAGCCCTACCCTACACCTGGAAGCCACAAAGTGAGGAGGCAGCACAGAAGGAAGAGTGACTTTTAGATTTAAGCAATATTATAGATAATTATTTATCTGCTGGTATCAGCAGATCAAAGAGAGAGATTTTTAATCCTCTGCTACCATTCAAGTGCAGTCTGGGCAGAACGACAGGCATTTTAACTTTTCATTTTCACAGACTCTGTTAAACTTTTTCTCAGCTCCAAACAGGAGCTTACTTGAACAGTAGTTTCAGTAGCTGATGCTTTTTGAAGAGCAACACAGAAGAATTGAAAATAAAGCTGTAGCTCACAGTACTATTTAAGATTGGAGCCTAGTTAGACCCTCAACATTCTTCCTCTCTGAATCTGACTAGTTTCTCACTGAATGCTCCAGGATGAACTGTTTCAAGCTATAAATCTCTTTCAGTTTACCACGTGTAGGGAGTATCTTCCTTCTTACTGTTTCTGTATGCACTTAGCATGTGATATGTAGTAGAAAAAAAATGAAAGCACAAAGAGATGAAGAACAAGAACTTTGCTCAAGCTGTAAAAGAAAATTGGTATGCGGAAATCCTAAAATGTCTTGCCCTTTTCTGAAGTTGGTAGATGTAAAAATAATTTAGTAATTAACAATAATATTACCACAAGGTGTGGAAGAAGCAACTAAAGAAGACACGGCCTAAGCCTATCCATACACCTGGATAGGCAGATGTCATCCTTCAGTGATGAGATGTCAGCCTCCAGTGACAAACCAAAACTCCAACATGAAGGTGAGACATAGCTGTTAACTATGTCTGTCTGCTTTGCCCTTAAGTAGATTTGAATCTCACAGTTAAGACACCTCATCTCAGCTGAGAGGCAAGCACTGGCCTTCACCTCTGCTCAGCATCAAGTGCATGCTCTGCTAGGTGATGACAGGCTTTGTTCCCCTTCATTACCTTTACAAATGCTTAGCTCCTGCTTGAGTGCACACCAGTGCAGCACATACACATTCAAGGGACATCACAGTGACGCTTAAGTTCAACAGTATGCTAAGCAGTCAATGGCACAATGATAAATATGCAAGTTGATTGTGAAAATTCATTTAAAATTAGAGGTGGGGTTCATTGGAAAGAGTAATTTTTTTAAATTAAATGGAGCAGTTAAAAATAATTTACAATACAGAACAGAAAGTATGTACGCAGCGTTTCAGATAAAAAGTTAACACGTTGTTGAAAACCAGCCGGTCAATCCTGAATACTGAAAAAAAACCCAAATAACTCTCAACACTTACCCAAAAAAACAGTCTGTGTCATTCATCCACTGGTTTATGAACTGTGCAGTGATGGGCTCAGGATTGTGTGGAAATCTGATGTTCTCCAAGGTGTGCAAAAGTAGGTCAGGATTGTAGTAGAGTGCAGCTATGGCAACTTGAAGACACATGGTACGAAGCTCACTTGTTTTAACTCCTCGAGTCAAGCGCTCCAGAACAGCCTCCACAAAAAGGGGGATACACTGAACATATAGTGAGAGAAAAAGAAAAGGAAAGGGAAAAAAACCCCCAGTCATTAGACATGTTGCCAGATTATACAAAATTTTATAATACTTTTACCAGAATTATGTCCTGAGTTATCTGAAGTTCAGGTATAGAACCAAGGAACACATTCTATTCACTTCTAGCCTCCAATCACACGCTTATAAATTTTCCCCAAAACAGCTCTTCTCTGAGCTAAAAATTGCAATGTTATTCTGAGCACAGGGGAGAATATTTGGGGCCATTTGGTGGAGTTTGCTCTAGCATATAGAAAAGCTTTAGGAAAAAACTCAGACATTCTCATCTTTAAAGAAAGATACTAAACAATTTCAAAACTAACAGGCATTAGAAATTAAACTATCTAAACCTGTAACATAAGAAGCTTTTCCTAATAAATCTAAAGTGATGTTAAATTTTTTATAAAAGTTTAAAATTAGTTTAGTCAGATAAAAACAAACATGCACTAATTTCTAAACAATGAAATAAATATCCTCTAAACCCATGTATATTTCAATGGGCAAATTTATACTTTACAAAAATTTGGGAAGCATTACGGAAGTTTTAGTTTATGAGTTTCAGTTCAACACGCACCCATTTTAATTCATAGAATTGTACAGCTCAATTAAGCCTCCCACCACATACTTATTTCAACGCAAACACATTGAATTCACTTTAAACTCTTCCAGATTTCCTTTAAAAATAAAATCTTTCCGAGAACATCTTTATCTTTAATTACTTCAGATTTACACTAGTAAAGTGATATCAGTTTTAGTGAAATTAACTGAAAATTTATCACTGAAGTCCATGGATTGCACTGTGGCAACATCAAACATGATACGCCAAGGTAATTTAGGCTCATTACATAAGTCCAGAATTCGGCCCTTAATAGGAAAAAGACTACTTGCTAAAAAGGTTATCTAAGAAACTCTGGAAATGTGTGATTATGTTTATCCCTGCAAACACAATCCAGCCATGCTAAAAAATCCACATTTCCAAATGCACTAAGTAATTTAAAACATTAAAAATTTCCTATAGCTTAGGAAAACAACAGGAGCTGCATATGTACAGTTAGCTTCTCAGCCACAGTAATTTTAACTGGGTGTTTTGCATCAAAAGGGAAATTCTATTAAGAAAAAGCAAAAACGGACAACCTTGTACAACATACTATATTCTTATAATTCAGTCCATTCATTTTGTGGTCATGCCCATTAGCACCTTGTCTCAAAACCAAAAAAACCCAACCTTAGAAACTTTCCTGAGTTCATTTACTTCTTTCTGTTTTTCTCCCCAGTTTACATTTCCCTCAAATTCTCTAATTCCAGCTGTTTCTCTCAGGAGTCATGGATCATTAGAAAGCAATAAAAGAGAAAACCTGTTCAGTATGTATCACCTGGTCAATACCCCGTCCTTTGCACTGAAGAACAATCACTTCTAGGAGTTTGGCTGCATGGCACTCTGCATCTTCTCCTGCATCTCCTGTCAGTACCTAACAATCAGAGTAACAATTTAATTTATCAGTAGTCACTGACAACACTGAAAGCAAGTGCTCTTGTACCTGCACACATCCAAAAATCTGTACACAGCATATACATATGTATTCATACTAAATTTTGTGAAGAATTAAGACACATAATTCATCTCTACAGGACATAAACAAGTGGCTAAAGGTGAATTTTAAAAACTAGAAGAAATTGCTGTAGTTCTTAAAGAATGTTATATTCTTTATATGCCCTCACTTTCCCTTTTTTAGAAAGAAATATCACTTATAAGAATCACTGATGTTTTCCATATTGTGTTTCCATTTTTTCACTTCAGTTCTAATAGTCATTGGCAGATTAACAGCCTGGCAAAGTAAAGTGCTATGTCTAGGCTAGTTTCTGATTAAGAACAAATTGTATGCAATTATTCTGTGTGTAAGCATATAGGTATGAAACTGAGTGCTTCATCTCAGTACATTTCAATCCCATGGTCACTGGCAATCAAACCTGACAAAAGAAGCAAAACTTTCACATCAAATACTCTTAAGTTTCTTAAAAATAAGCAAGTAGCTAGATGCCTAACATTCTCTCATGCCTCAAATCAATGGAGGACTTCAGCATGATCTCATACTTTATTATATGTGAGAGTCGCGGCACTAAAGGGAAACAAGATATTTATCTTGTAGGAAGAGCTTCAAATCAGTTTGCACCTTAGCTGACAACCAGAGAGTAAAACTTGGCAATCTCTTGCACAAGATAGGCAACCCAAGGAAATCAGGCTTCATTAATTCCCTACCTACTAAAATAGCTCTCCAAAGAAGAGAGTCAAGATGAACAGCAACTTTCTCCCACACAGACTTTTGCATGTCATTTCTGTAAAGCATGTCACTTAAAAAGTGTGAAGGTGCTGTGTGTTCTCAGATCTGAGGTAAGACCAAAATTCACTTAGTCCTGAAATGCTTGGCCACCATGTGGCATTGTTCAGGTCACACAGCTCCTCTAATTGTTATTTACCAGCGATAAGCACAACAGTAAGAATCAGAAGCCTTACCTTTTTACACATAGAGTAAATGATTTCTAAATGCTTTGGGTTAGACAGTAAAGTATCAGTGTCAATGGTCACATAATTATGCAAGAGAGGCATCATATCTGCAGAACAGGGAGAGCAAAAAAATTACAAAAAGTGCTAACCAGAGAGGCAGTCCTAAAAGGGAATTCATTAGCTTAGATTCTTGAATATGGTTGGAAATTCAAACTCTGCAAAAGTCTTTTCTGGAAGAATTCTTCATAAAATGCACTATTGAAGGGTGTATTTTTAGAACTAGAATAGGACTACATTTTAATTAATCAATTTGTAGTTTCACATAAACTTTGAATATTCAACTTTCTTGAGTTCAGGAACCCTAAAACAACTGATCACACTGACAGATTTGAACATGCTTAAACATCCTACTTAAGTATCTCCTGTTACACTCCCACACTAAACAGACGGTCAGGGCATGACTCAAATACACAATCACTTTAAACCAAGACACTAAATGGAAGCGACCCTTATCAGGGTGGGTTTTAGAGATGAATTCTCAAACAGTAAAATCATCACTAGAACAGAAGTGACTTTACCTGCAAAATATTCAAAACAATCCTGCTGGAAAACCTCGTACAGAACACCTAAAAGCTGCCACATCTGAGGTGAAATCATCTGGCATGTTAAACTGAAGGCCAAGGACAGAATTTCTTCATAAAACTCTGCAAAAGACAAACAATTTCTTGAAGCAGGGTGCTTTACAAAATAAATTTAACTTGTAAATACCTTAAAATCTGAAACCAAGTCATGAGTCTAGTAATAACTAGAAGACAGCAATTAGAAACGAAACCATACAGAGAAAAAGAAAACAAATTGTAAAAGACTCTTTCAGACAGGCCTTATGTTGGCTATAGTTACAATAATATGCATAGTTTTCCACTTTAAATACACATCAAATTAATACATCAGCAGCACATGAAAGACAATGCTTCTAATAGACTTACTGAAAAATATTTTTTTTCTCAGCCTTTGTTTTTTCTGCAAGGCCTTATCACAAAACTGTAACTTTAAGTGAAGCATACTGATAAAGCAGTAATTTAATTGCAGACCATGTCCATAAGAGACTAATGTAGTCGTAGACATTTTCCTTTAACATAATTAGCCAGAATTATAATCAGAACAGCATCTACAGCTTTTGACCTCCAAAACACAATAGCCTGACTAATGTACAAGGGTAGATCAAGAGAAACAAATTACAATGGTAAAGTAATGGCTTTTTTCTTTAAAGAAACACACATAAAAAATTAAATTCTGTTCTGGAAGTTAATGATAATTAATTTACGTGTTTGTACATATCTCTAAAACATACCTATAACATGTTTCTGCAAAACAAGGCCAATGATCTGTAAACAAATGCTCTCGAGCTGTTGAGTGATCTGAAATAAAAGCATAGAGCAATTTATTAAAAAAATTAGAAATACAGCAATCAAATAAATGTATTTGACTAATTCAGTTTGAGAAGTTCTTCAAATCAAAAAGGTTTCTATCATTTTTTAAAGCTGCATTAACAATCACATTATGAAATAAGGTCTCCCTGATTCAGAAAGAACCTCTTTACCCTGAATATGTGATTTGTGGACATTGCACCACAACTGGGAGACCAATTCCTAGGAATTCTATCCAAGAAACTGCTGGGTAAACTAGAGACAGAGGTCATCTGTAAAAAACTGGCCTTGTGCAAAATATTTTCCCTTAAATGCAACTTTAACACTCTGTAATACAACTAGTCACTGTGAAGAAAATCAACTCTACCCCAACCAAAACCAGCCCATTCCAACGAAGTATTTACCAAGTAAGGGATGAGAATTTTACCCTTGGGACATAAATTCCCTCGAAGTTGAAAGCTAAACAATTAATAAATCACAAAAGTAAAACAGGATTTAGATTTGTATCTGTCAGAGGTGGCTTGGTAGCATCCCGCTGCAGTAAATGCACGTTCATGCCTAGTGATGCAACATACACAGAAGTGCTTGTTGTGATGAATGAAATGAGGAAAGTATGAAGGAAAATCTCACCTCCTTGTGATCTTCCACAACTGTCAGGATTGTGTCAATTGTATGCAAGATGCCCATGGCCATAACTGTTTTGTCCTCTACTTCCTCATATTCCTCACTCTGAAGTACTTTACCAAATATTTCAGCCTGTGAACAAAACCAACCAACTTGACATTCAAGAGCAAACCCGTGTTTCTAATTTGTCATTCAAAACCAGGCAGCTAATGCAACAGCAGCAATACCTTATCTATAGGAGCTGTCAGCACTGAAAAATACTCTTGCTACTTTTGAAAGGCAATATAGCAAATTAAAATCTCCTCTTTTTTGTTTAGAAATCTACATTAAGACATTTGAAATGCTAAATCGTTAGAGCTTGGCTCATTAAAAACAAGTGACACATATCAGTATCTTTGAAAAATCTATCAGTTTTAACGATGCTTCATAGAGAAAAAAACCGATAAATACTGCAAATACTACAGGAGGACTCATAAAGATTACTTTAACAAGTGTGTCCTTCAAGCAGAGTTCATTAAATGTTCACCAAACCAGGCATGTGCTTCTGACTGGACTGGTATTTTACTATTCCTCTTACCAGGTGTTGAGTCATGTCCACAGCAATAGTAGCGACTTCCTGGCTGTACTCATAGATCATCTTCTGGATAACATTTGTGAGATCATCATTTTCTGTCTCTCTGACAATGTGCAGGAGCTCCTGCATCACTGGCCTTACATAAGGCTTCACATATTCCTTGGCTAAAAGATCAATAGAATCTAGGTGAAATCTACTATCCATAAACACAAACATACAGCATCTCCAAACTGCCAGGTAGCTGGCTACTCTTTAACAAAATAAGTTTAATTTGAATTCACTAAAGAAATAAAAAAGCCAAAAAACATATCCAAGGCAATTTTGCAGTCCATAACCAGTAGACAGAGTAAGTAAGTTGTGTAATATTGAAATGCCACCTACAGCAAAAATCCAGTTTTGAAGGAACACTTGCTCTCATATATAAGCAGTATTCATTTTTAAACATACACACTGCTTACTTCAGTAAAAAAAACCCCAAAGATGGGTAATATTTACTTCATTAAAACAAACATGCTGATTCTAACTTCTTTTGCGTCATCAAAACTTGAAGCGGAATTCTGGGATGTAATGAGCAAGTGAATCTGTCTAAACATGATAAAATATTCTGAAATCTGTGTCTTCAAATGACAGAAATGTTTAGATAAATCTGCACCAACCTCCTCATCTGGACAAAAAATCGACAGATCAGTGTATACAACTGATGAATCATTGTCACATACCTTGCTCTTGGTTGCTAATTAAGGTCTGAAGGGCTATGGCTGCTTCCACTTTGACAGGCATCTCCTTATCATCAATCAGGCTCTTCTTTGCCAGCTCTACTGCATTCCTCAAGTTCAGCTCATTGTGAAATTTCAAAGCACTGAATGAATGAAGTACCCAACAGGACTGGAAGGCAAAAAGAGAAGCAAGTTAGGGGCTATGGAAATTTTAAGCATTTTTAACTAAGTCAAAATCAATGCTAACTATCTCACTGTTTGGATGCACTGCTTTTTTTTTCCCCACTCAATTATGGTATATTCTTTCATTAAATGTAACACAGGTATTGCACTCAAGCAGCTCTTTATTAGACTTTCCCATATTCCAATAAATTCAGTGCACATAATTTGCATTCATATCTTTGGTCCTTCTGGGGGAAATAAAATCAGAAAAAAAACAATTAAAACTGTTTGTCCATGACTGATATTAGCACTTGGGGATTTTCTTCAAGCAACATTCAAATTTGATGTTACCTACTTTTGGAAATCCTGCCTATTCTTCAGAGCCATCTCTGCTTATGAAAAATGGCCACAATTGCTGCTCAGATTCTCAAATCTGATTGAAGAGGTGAACATTAACACAACACAGACCCTCCATCAATTCATTTAACTAAAAATCATGGTTTAAATCAACACTAAGAAAAAATAGTGCACAATAATGTTTTTTAAATTTTACTATGTATTTACCTAATTTCTTTCAGTAACATTCAGAATGAAATCAAACTGCAAAGGAAGGAAACATGGCAAATACTGGAATTGATGTAACAGGTGAACTTACTCGAGCTCTGAGGTATCCCAGGTTAGACATGAACAAGGGAAACACATGATTCTGTAACATTAGCTCCATTTGATCCTTGAAAACACTCTTCTGTTGGAGTAAGGAAAAATTAATTTTGGAGACCATTCATTTTACATACTTCTGTCTAGCCCATAATGCATTTCAAATGTCAACCATGGGAAATACAATTATTTGTCTATATAATAAAGGTATACCCCCCACAAAGAGAACTGGATCCCCTACCTTGAATAGAATCAACTCAAAAGCATAGCAAGTTGAAAACCAGGTAAGTGAAAGAACTGTACATATAATATTCAACTTGGCGTTATTCATTATAACATGTAAACTGGAATTTTCATGCTATTTAAGGCAATTAATTCCAGCTGATTTTTCTGAAAAACTAACAAGGATCAATAACCTAGTAATTCCATTCTTCCTACAAAGGAGTACATACATAATCTGAAGATAAATATGAGCTTAATATGGAACAGATCTGAGTTTCAGATGACCTACTGTTACTCTAAGTATCAAAACTTGCTATTTTGGACACTGCAGCAACAAATCCCACCTTTTTTCATGTTTATTAATGGCAGAAGATAATTCATTTGCGACAGAAATTTCCTCAGCTGGAGAAGGATACTTGATGAGAGCTTTTCTTCACTATTTCAACTTTAGCAAATCCCAAGATACTCACAGGAAGCTAGAACCAGCATGGATATTTGAGACTTTTCTTATAGTCCCAGAATAATAGAAAAGATACATGCTGGCATGCTGTTACCATCCAAAGGAATGGTTCAGTGGCTAAGACAGAAGAGAGTGAAGTGGGACACTCAATACAACCTGTATCTTATGTGATCACACTTTATTTCACCAATGCACACAGCATTTTTTCCACACTCATTCCCCAGCCTTCACAGAGCTGAAGGAAGGACTGAGCAGAGAAAAAACAGAGAAAGGAAAATACTGTTCCTTTGTACACACTGGCCAGAAGTTTGTAGGCATTCAGCTGGAGATGCTGTGGGGAGCCAGGTGGCTCAGGCAGGACCACTGTGTCTATGAGATCTTTAGACTCTGTATCTCAGTCAGCTAAAGATCCAGAGAGCACTTACAAATCCAGGATTTTATACGGAAACGGCTGATGCAATGTTTCAATGTGTCAAATTCCAAACACAAGAAATTCAAATTTTAAAGGGGTCTGCAGTGTTTGGGGTTATTACTCTTTAAGTACAATATAACCTCATGTTTCAGGACTGAAAATTTCAAACAGGAGCAGAAAACTGGAATAAATCCCCTTTTTCCCCCAGGACAGAGATAAATATGTTAACATGAAAGTCTCCTCACAATACAAACAATGTTGTCCACTTTCACTGTTATACTCCAGCATGAGGAACTGCATTTACAATCCAAAATCATCTACAAAAATTCTGTAAAAGTTACTGATGTTTCAGGATTCAAGATCAGAAAATCGACTGGTAAAAAAACATTAAATGATGTTAAATGTTGGTAAGATGATGCCTGTAATATGAAGACACATCCTGCACAGCGAGACAATTCAGATAAAATATAATAAATTACTTTTTAAAAGAAGCCTCCAGCACAAGATCACCATTCTCATGATAAATGTGATAATATTATGGCAATTACTTTTGACATGGAGCAAAGGCATATTTTGGACTCCATCATCTGCAAAAGCACAAGTCAAACTGTAATCGGTATCAATTAGATACTAACAGCATGCATTAAATTTGCATTGAGATTCCAGAAAAATACCCAAAATTCTGAAGATGCTGTCTATAAAAGAAATGGAGGAAGGCTCTTTGCTCTTTCCAGCTTTTTTCAAAACTCCCAGCTGGCAGATGAAATAAGACTTAAAGCCACATATTGAAGAGTGAAAAAGTTGGAAAGCTAGAGAGAACATTCCTGTAACATGTTAAGTAAACCTTTTCCTGGAACCAGAAGCAGCCCATAACAGTGCAGGCTGCTGGGGAATTTCATAAAGAATCATATGCAATGTTGCTGATGGAATGTATGTTTGCTTTCTTAACACTTCCATTTTACTAGTAAAGCAGGAGGGGACCAAGGGACTGTTGTGTAACAAACAAACAGAGTTTTGGAAAAATGTGAGATGAAAAATCTGTATATAAAATTGTGATATAAAAACCAGGAAAGAATGTTAATATTTTTAAATAAACAGACTCTCATATTCTGATTGCAATCAGAGTGCAATCTCTCTACAGACTTTATAAATATGGCTAAGGGCTAGTCATACTTTATAAAGAAAGACTATTTTATTTTAAATCACAGTTGACAGCAAGAATTGCAATTGCAAGCAAACTTTTTTTCATTTCTTTACCCACTTACCTTCAGTAAAATATCTGCTAGGGATCCTATAACATGCAAAGCTCCATCTTTTTTCCTTGGATCAATGTTTGGCTCTGTCAGAATTTGGTAGCAATATGCCATCATTTTTGGTAATACCTACGCAGGACAGAAAACACACAATCCCCTTTAGTCAAGTTATTAAATAGCATTGTTCAAAAAATTCATATGACATTTTCATGAAGAAATTTTGCTCACAAAGTAATGTGAGGTACTAAATGTAACATCTTTCAATAGTACAAGTGTAAAACATTGGAATTTTCAACTTTTCAGCCAAACTGGTCAAAATCAGATTAATCTTGAAATTTCACATTACTAACAGCAAGTACGGTATTTTTGTTACTGTCTTGAGGCAAATCAAAAAAGGTGATGAAAAGGCAAGAAAATGATGAAAAGCACCTCACCCACTTTTTCCCTTAAGTTCTTTTCTGGCTTATCTCACACATAAATGTAAATACTTATGTGTGTATACGTTTATGTATAAAAATATACACATATATTTTCAAGGAGAGCTTGGACTAAAACCGTACAAACTTAACTTGATTTATTGAGTTTGGCAGTAGTTTCTAAAGTTGACTAGACTTAGAAAAATTTCTTGGCAAAACCAACAGCTGAATGTGATTTCCACACTCATTACGTCCTTTTCCAACATGTCATTTTGATGGTCTAAACACCAATTATGAAAATGAATAGGAAGATCAGTGGACAAGAACTGTTTTGACAATAAAAAAGTAGAAAGGTCATAATCCACCAATTCCACCTAATGCAAAGACTCTGCTCTCCTCTGAAAATCCACCTAGAAATGGAGCTCCATGATTACTGGACGTTAAAATGGAACCTCGAAAAACATTTGCCATTTTAGCCAACTGTACTTTCCAGGGCTTGCCTAGGCATTTTTGTGCAGGTCGCTGTAAATACGGAAAAGTCTACAGAAAAGTTACAACCTCATTTCAAGAGTAACTGCATGAAATGGGTTTTGTCCTTGCTAATTTTATTGCTCTTAAGGACGACTTTAAATAGCATCAGTGAAAAGTAGTAAGGATCCACTCTCCCTCCTACTACTGTTTGTGATGCTGAGAACAGCTGTGACAGAAGCTGTTTGTAAACCTGGGAAAATCTATTCCAATATATCTATTCCAACCCATTTTGTATCTGGCAGATACGTTTTAAATCTTCAAGAATAATTCACTTAGGATTTATACACACCATATTTTAACTCTCCCCAAATTGACAGCATTCAGCCAGGAAGTATTTGACTATGTAGCAGCAAGTATATTTTTCAAGACTAGCTTCATGTAGCATCTTCAAACATAAGGGGAAAACAACATTATTAAGGAAAATTCAAATAATTAAATACCATTGGTTTCATACCTCTTTTCTCTTCTTCGCAGCAGTGTAAAGGAGATTCTGTGCTGCTGTTGTTGTGGATGCATAGTCCTCAAATACATCTGAAAAAATGGGGAGAAAAAAGCATTAAAAAAGTATTTTCTGAAAAATAAACTTTTTATAAAACATCTTGGTTTTGGGATATCACAACATCTGGATGAATATATAACCCCCAAATTATTGACATGATTGCCTTCACTTTGTGCTTAAAGAGTCAGACCCAACCTTATGTCACATACCTTACTTCTTGCCTTCTAAATCCACTGCCACTCTTCATTCCCTTAATTAAGAACATGCTATTTATTCATTAGCTCTTTTGAGACCATATATAAGGGATGAAAAATCCTGTCTATTTTGTAAATTAAAACCTCTGTAGGAAGAACAACAATACACTCCAGTACCATCTGTTTACCACATGTACACATTTTTTACGTGATTTTATTAAAACCTCATGGGAAACTTTTTGTACATAAAATCTACTTAGATCTGGAGTAGTTTTATATCTGCTGAAAGGTCAAGTTTTCTAGTTTCATCCATTGCAACTAAAACTCCTCTGTTCATACTGAAAGTATAATTCATATCTTGAAAAAAAAAATCTGTGCTGCAAACATGTTCCAAACATCCCCACAACAAATGGAATCAAACTACAAGATCTTCGAATGCTATCTCAAAATGTGACTCAAATTACACACCAACTTTCCCTGAAACCTTTAAGATAAAACGTCATTAGGAAATACTACCAGACCACTGGAATTCTTGTTCCAAACGAAAAAGTGCCTCACTAACCTTCCATTTAATGTACTTTAATACTTGAGTGTAATGTACTTTGACTATTTTTTCACCTTCCATGATACAATCTGAATCTGTATTTAACTGCCTCAGCTACATATAAAAATAAGATTCACTACTTACACAGAAAGAACTGAATTCACACACCAAAAATCAAGGATGTATTTATACCCTAGTGCTCAACACTATACTGTAATTAATTTGTTGCATAACAACTCTCCAAGCTTTTAAATTATTCTACTAATATTTAAATTCTGTTTTCACATACACTAATCCCAAATCAACTAATTAAAATTTCCCAAACGCTGCATATGTATCTCTGGTGCCTGGCTCGCAGGAGTTCTCCAGCTAAAATTGTTGTACTTTTAGAGTACCCTTCTCCTTTTCAATGACATGACTCTTTCAATAAATGTTATTATTCATAATATGGCCCTATGTGTCATTCCCAAGATTTTGCACTGTGTCTTTTGAAAGAATATGTATCTAATTATCTTACAATTGAGTAGTAATAAGTGGCAGAAAAACGCTGAAAGCACTGACAATTTTCAACAGGAAAAGAGTAAGTCAGGCCTCTTCTGGTCAAAGTGAGAGCTGCAGGAACCTGCAGACAGCTGGCACATCTTCAAGTCAGGGTCTGAAACGGGCACTAACAAGGGAGCAAGCCAGCCTGTCTGGCTGCTCTGAGCACATGTGAAGTAGAAAAAAACCTCAGAGAATCATTCAGTTCTAAGCTACGAGCCAAATGGGCCAAACTCACTTGATCCACCACCTGCTTTTAACTAGAGATTGGTGAACTTAAAGAATAGAGTTTTCTTCTTCCTATTGTTCAGGTGAAGAGAGACATTACAGGGGCCATGCTGGTCACTGGAACTGCAGGATACATTTATGATGAAAGCAAAAAATAAAGCCAAATTACCAAATTTCATGCGGATATATTCATATGGATCCTCTTGCCAGAGCTCCTCATCCTCATCTTTGTAGCACATCAGAGAGAATATCACCTCTTCTGTTATAGTCTAATTTTAGAAGAGCCAAATACACGTAAGTACACATAAAATCAAATTCCAGTACAGCTTCTCTCCACCATGCACTAACTAATTTATTAGACTTATTTGTCTAGAGTTACATTCCTTTAAGCAGCACTCTTATTTTGTCTACCAGAAACAAATTCACAGTATTATAGGTACTTGCCTTTTGAAACAGCCCCAGACAGCAGCCATAATTACACAATCTATCTTTATAATATTACATTACCATGCACAAAATACACTTCAGGATATAGTCTGTACATAGCAGAATATTACATTCTGCAGAAGGATCTCACCAATGCAATACTTAACATGAGAATGGATTTCACAATTCTTCCCTAGAAGTCATGGAATTAACTAACTACAAAGGGGATCTTATAATATGAAAAAATAAAAAAAATCAGGAAAATCACTTTTCATTTGCTTTTTAGTTCACTTATAAAACACGTCCTTAAAAGAGGGTTTAGCTCCTCTTAGATGAATGTTCTCTTTGTGCACTATCTTTGCACTACAATCAAAAATCTAAGACAATTCTGAACACCAGTAACTAATAAAAGCCAGAACACTATGCCTTTCTAGCAGACTTTAAAAATTAAAATAAAGACCTTAGGGAACAGAATCTTTGTTGAGTTAACATTATCTGCAATAAAAGGTAGTAATATATTGGAAAACACAACCACATTTGTGTAGAAATGTTCTTTTATTTTCCAGATCAATTGCTGAATGATTCATGGAACCTTCTTTAAAAACACAAAACTTGGGGGGCTGGGGGATGTTTTTTAAACCCTCTGATGACATGCCTTGTTCATGACTGGGTTTTAAGCACTGACCTGTATGTGTGGCTTCATTTGCTTCCATGTTACAGAGTGAATTACTCCCTGGTTCAGGTAATTCAACGTTTGCTGAAGAACACGTGGTGCAACATAGTCTTTTTGCCTGTACTGGTCTAAGATTCTTAAGAGAACCTAAAGAAATGACAAATTGGTATTTTTAAATGAAAGCTGAAAATTCTATCTCATGCATAAACATGCAGTGCACTTCCTCAGTGAATATACATGAACAGATAAAGTAGTTTTACTGCAGATGTTCTAGCATTAGAAATCATTATAATGCCTTTGATCCAAAAATCATAAATAATTTAAATATCAAGGCTTTAATCCTGCAAACATTTATGCAGATGCCCACCTTTACTACTAGCCCTACCATGTGATCACTTCTGATTATAAACCAAAGATATACTTCAATAGTGAGAGGCTCACAGTTTACAGAGGCCTCAGCAAAATTTGGAATAAGTAAGGAAATGGCACGGTGAGATTTTCAAACTGGTGGCTTCTACATCTGCCAAGTAGTGTCTGCATTCATATTTAATGACAGGTCCTTCAAAAAGACAAATTACTTTGAAAGAACAGTGATGAGAATAGAAATACTAAACCAAGAAAGAAAACTAGGTTCACCTAAGCCTCTGAATCAGAAGAGCTGCAAACCCCTTAACTTCAATTACCTATTGTAGCCATCAGATAATATCACCTGGCATGCTATTACAAACTCTACCACACAAAGCTTCCTTGGTATAAAAGTTTCCTCTTTAAGAAAAAAAACACAGTACAAAGCTACTAATCTGCACTAATGGCAAGTGAATTATTAGTAAGTGTATAGAAGTGGCATATACACGAATAACAATAAAAATCGGGGCAATGCATAACAAAATTTTGAGTCATATGCTTTCAGCAGAACAATTCTGCTTCGTAATTCTTCAGAACATTATAATTAATTTTATTTTTAATATAGCTCCTTCATTAGGAATACTAAGTTTGATGTCAGGTCTTTTATATAAAATGCTCCAAGGACAAGGATTGTCTATATCTATATCTAGCACAATGTCAGCACTTTCCAACTGATGAATAAGTAAAAAAGGCTTAGTAATGTAATAGTCACAACAGAATTCTTACTAACTCTGCAAGGAATCACGACAAATCACTATTTAAGTGCCAGAAATTGATGAAATGTGCAGATCATCCAGTACATTTATCTTGAAAGCTAAACTGTCCCCTCTGCAACATAGTTTAATACCTTAACAGACAAACTTTAAGTATTTCAAATTATAACTGCCCATGGGAGTCTGTTTTTCACTCAGGAGTTATATACATTGCAAGGAATTTAGAATAGACACTAGGCTATTTCCCTTTTCATTTAATTTACAGCCTTACCACAACCATTCCCCTCCTTTGTCCTTCCTGATGGATAAACTATTCTGTTGTCACACTGGATGAAGAAAAGCAATTTTGTTTAGCAACTTTATTGGAACTGAACTGTCTCTACACGCACAAACAATTAGCATACCCTAACAAAAATAATTTCCTTGCAAATGGTGAATTTAGGCTATATTTTCACATATGCTTTCCAGGTATAAAATAATGTTCACTGCTCTCCGGATATCTTCCAATCTATTTGTATCTTCCTGAAATAAAACAGTATCATTGGATTAGAATGCCTAAGTCATTTGCAGCAAAAGCACTTGCAAAAGACAGGCCTGAAAATACACCCATCTATGAAATAAGGCCTCTGCACCAGAAGTGTTCCTCTCAGCTGTACCTAGAGTGCTTATACACAATGATAATACCATTTTATCAGCACCCACCCTTTCTGAGAGTTTTCCTGCAAGGTTTTTGAGTTACTGAAAATTTGTGTTATTATACCTCAGCTGTATGGCACTGAGCTCTAAAGAACTTCTCAGTCACTATCAGGAAAACCTGCCAGACTTTCCTCATTTTTGTTTAATAAATGAACCTCGATACAAGCACATTGTTACAAAGTGATACATTTCTTCAGACAAAATAATGCAATTCATAAAAAATGCACTCTGCTTACCTGTTGTATGCCCACAGCATAGGTTTTTAAAAAGAAGTCTGAGAATTCAAAGTATTCTTTAGTTACATTTCCAGGACTTCCATATCTTTAAAAGGAAAAGGATACAGATATTTACACTGTGAGAAGTCTATGCTGTCAGGAAAATACAGTATTTTCTAAACCATAAAGGACCCTGAGTGGTCTTGCATCTGCAAAGGAAAACTTTACCACAGGCTCCTTCTAAGCCATCCTTTCCCATATAACACCCTACTTCGTTCTTCTTTTCTTAAAATTTTCCTAAGGTAAGATATTATACTCAAGTAAACATGGCTGAGTTTTTGTCACAAGCTCAGTAACCTCCACGTTTATGGATTTCTTTTCAAATCTTCCCCTGCCTTTATGTTTGAGAACATAAACACTTGTAGCTGGGTGTAGTAAAATAAATATGTAGTTAGATTTACTTTTCCTGTGGGGCAAGCCTCTTGCCATCTTAAGGGAGTCAAATCATTTCACTAAGAGCTGAGACCTGCAGTTGTGCCAGTGCAAAGCAGAGCACAGCAGCAGGAAAACTCTTCAGTGACTGACTGATCAAACTGTCTTCTCTACTTGCATGTCAAGTAATGGTACAGACTTGTTAACCCAAATCTAGGTTTTCATCAATTTGTTACCGTTCAAAGAGACGAGCTACAATATGCAATGCCCACTTCTTGCATTTCCACCACACCAGCTCTGGTCTATCATCTTCATCAATTTGCAAAGTCTCCTACAAACAAATAGATTTATTTAAAATTAGTTATGTCATTTGTTGAGAGCAATTAAGTGTTAAACATTCCTTGCTGAGTAAACTAATATAAACACATACCATGGACTAAAGCTTTGATTCTGATAAGTTATATGACACTCAGGAACTTTCAATTATCTTACTTAGGCAGTCTATGTGTATGTGCAATACCTGCACAATGCCTGTACTTTCATTTCAAAATTATGCATATTTAAAAAATGCAAATTCTCAGATACACTTGAATACTATATCACTCTGGCTCAAAATCCAAGGATAAGAATCTTAAGTAAAGAACACTTAGAAAATCTTTATACTGACAGTTCCTCAAATGACAACACACAAATATCAGAGGTCTTTACAAAGCTAAAACTCACCAGTGGAACATTTCTATCAATGATGGTACGAAAGATCTCCATCCACTGAGTCATAGTCTGGTTATTCACCAGCTGGAGTGGCAATGCATACTGCAATAAGGGAAGAAGCACAGGTGTGAAACACTATTTTTCTCTATAAAATGTAGATCTTTCTGCAGTAGTTACATTCTAAGGAAGATGAGGTTTCAAGTAAAATGAAAATCAATTACGTTACATATCAACATCACTCTAATTGCATCTCTCTTGGTACAATTTGAACAGGAATTTCTGAGCAGACATAATATGAGGAAAACTCCTTTGTCTGATAACTTGCCAATTCTCTTTGTTTTTCTTCTTCACAACAGCCCAGGTACCTTTTAGGACCACAGCAGTATCAATACTACAGGGCTTGGGCACACCAATAGGATTTTAGCAAGCAAAATGTACTCACTATGGAGAGAACGAGAGGACAGTCTTAAGCTGACCCAAGTCATACGAAATACAGGTTGGATATTAGGAAAAAGTTTTTTACAGAAAGAGTGACAAAGTACTATAATTGTCTGCCCAGGCAGGACCATCCCTGGATGTGTTTAAAAAAAGACTGGATGTGGCACTTGGTGCCATGGTTTAAGTGAGGTGTTAGGGCATGGGTTGAACTTGATGATCTTGAAGGTCTCTTCCAACCTAGTCATTCTGTGATTCACTACTACTACCTAGCTACTATTCAGTAAGCCTCACTTCTCTACAAAATCCAAAGAAAAGTTAAGACATTCAGGCAAGTCATTGAAAAGAAAAATAACATCTTGGTATTTTTTTAATTCTCCATCCACTTAATAACAAACTATTTTTAAAAGCTTTCTAAAACACAATTGAGAATTTTCAGGCTGTTCCTTATGACCAAACCTGGTTTGGTTTCTAATTCTCTGCAAGTACTTCTTCACCAAACTCATCTCAGTAAAAGCCAAACTCATCTCTCTAAAGTGCATGTGCCTCAATACATAGTACCTGCCAGATTTTCAGCAGATAATAAGAAATGCCTCCTAGTGAAGTGCAGCACTTGACAATTACACTACAATATTCATTACTGACACTTTCAAAGGCCAACCACAGACTAGATAGACATGCAGTTCATATCAGGCTATGTGCAAAAAAACCAGGAACTTTATAAAAACAGGAACATTTCTCTAGTGGGCTAAAAAATACAATGTGCAGAAGCACCCTACATGCATTAAAAATTTAATCTGGGCGATCATGTGACCAGCTTCAAAGTAGAAAAATCTATAAATATCCTAGTTCTATAACAGCTGTTTATTGCGTATGACTTCTCCCATCCAAAACGGTATACTTATTCAATCACACCTCTGAATGTACTAAAAGGGGTCATTGTGCCCAGATAAGTAGAAGTTTGGTTTTCCTCTACACAGATGCCAACCTGAACAAGAGCATAGAAGATTTTTAAGATTTGTTTCTGAAGCAATACAGAATAATGGGAGTTATCAGGCAGAAGCTGAATCATCTGCTGCTGAATCCGAGGCAAAAATATTTGCATGGCTGCTATGAGAGGATCTCGCTCCTCTGCTTTTTTGTACCTGCAAAGGAAACAAAAATGTTGGTCCAGGATCTACAAATTGGAGATTTTAATGCCTATTCCCCACCAAAATTTTAATTTCTGCCCTAAAAAACAAACAAAAAAAAGAATATCCAACAATCATTCGACCCTCCTCTAACCCCCATCCGAACTCTTTGTGCAAATTCACTAGAAATACCTATAAATAAAAAAAAATGGAAAACAACAAACGTTGCCTTCCACAAAGGCAGTAACTGACAGGAAGAACTACTGTTCTTTACTACTGAATTGTCACCTCACAGGAGCAGGGACTTGAATTTCTCTGCTGTTCATAACAATGCCAAATCCAAGTTGGGTGCTGAACAAATGGGAGTGAACAGCCATTGAAAGGGAAAGACAATTCCTTGCTTTGGAAAAGATTCCCTTTCTCCATTTATATTCCTTTTGTGTGGCTTATACATATGTTTCTAACAATAGGCAATTAAAAAAAATATGAGTGATAAGCCCCACTACACAGCTCCTAATTTATGCTTTGTGGATTTAGACTACCAGGATTTTATGCTACAGGTATGCATACAAATACATACATGTAATAGTAGTATATGACAATGAGAGTACTGTATTCATGACATAAAAGCAGTAAATAATTTGCACTCATACATCTAGAATTTGGGGTATCTTCAAACAAAAGAAGTTACAAACCTAAGGATTTTTTTTACAGCCAGATAAAAAATACAAAGCCTCAAGAAAAAATTCTCAGCAAACTCATACAGATTATTGTTGGCAGCTCAGCTTTCAATTCACTAATGATACAAAGATGATGAATATTTTTCACTTATTTGCAGGAAAGGAAGCATATGATAATTATTAATTCCCATTTTCTATCTGAATTCCCTTGCAGACCTGCCAGTGCTCTTAAGAATGCCATTTTCAGTAATCAACTTAGACTGAAAGTACCAATTCCTCATCTACTGATGGACTTCAACTTACTCGTAAGTCTTCACCAGCTGATAGAGGCACAAGAGGCTCCCAAGCCAGCTCCCACTGTTTGGAGACTGCAGGTAGTATCCTATCTTGTCTACCACTGCTGTCCAATGGCCAGGGAAGTCATGTTTAATGATAGCACGGAGGCACATTGTCAGCTGGGCTCTAGTCCATGGAGGGAAAAAAAAAAGTTAATAAGGTCATGGTATAGTGTTTAAATTAAAGGATAAATCCCAAATCTTGGTTTATTGGCTACAATATCTATATTATGTTTTAAGTATCGTACGTATTTCGACAGCACTGAAAGAGTTCTGGGAAGTAGCAGAGGAAAAGCAAGAAAAAAATCCGACAAGATTTAACTTTAAGGAATAAACTAATTTCAGAACATTTTAGCTACTTTTCTCTTTCCCTCCTCCCTCTTCGTAAGTATCACGCAGTATTTTAAAAGAATTAATTACTCATGAAACCAGATAACTTTGTGCTTTGAAAATGAATGTTTATACTTGCTTATCAAGCTGAAAGCAACCACAAAGAACACAAATTTTTATGTTTTCATTAAAGAATAATGGCCTGTGTAATGATCCAAGCCACAGGTTCCTCAAGAAATTACAATTTTCCTGGGATCTTCTAGAGCAGCACTTTCTCAACCTCCAAAGCATATGGCAGAGCCAATTAGTTAAAGAACATCTTACTGTTTCTCTCCTCCCAGACACTTTTAGATGCCACTCGCAATGGTGAGGCAAAGCAGAACTGCTGATTGACTAAACTGAGGTGTGACTAAAAAAGATGAGCAGCACTGAACTAAAACCTGTGGAGAAATACTTTTAGTTCTGCTAAGCAATGAAAAAACAAAGCCTGCAGAAAATATCAGTTCCCATCCTATCAGCCTCAGTTCAATTAAAGGGGTGAATAATCACAGACTGTAAAAAAAACCACACTATTCTTCCAGCAAAAGAAGAACCGCAATTCTTCATTCTTTTAACACCTTAAAACTAAGAACCCTAACATATAGTGAAATACTGGGGTTACACGTAAAAATTGATAAACTAAATAAGAAAAGGGCTACTAGAAAAGAGGAACCTTGGACAGTATTTCCCTGAATGGTTAATTCTATATCGCAGACAGCCCTGTATGTATTATCTATCTTGAAACAGCCAAACAGACAGGCTGTTACTACAAGTGTTACAAGACACTTTGAACAACACCCTTAGAAGATAAACCACATCACAGGGCTCACTGCCAGGTTAGTACTGTTCTGAAAACAAGCACATATGAATAAGTGTAAACAGATTATTATTACTTTTGCAAAAAAAAGCACTTGTCTCATCTCCCAAACTATCGAGATTCTCATGCTAACAAAATCCAGATCGGCAGGTTTGAAAACCTGAGCAATAGAAATATCTCCGTGCAATGTAAGGTACCTCACTAAGTCAGGAGAACGAATTATTCCTTCTACAATGTTATCCCGAATCTGCTGACGATCATTTTCATGAATATTAAATGGAAAAACCGCTTCTCCAGGAGGTGGCTCACGGTCCGGCCAGTACTGTGTCACCATGTTCTTCAGGTAAATGGCAGCTAAGTACAGACAGTGGGGAAAGAATAGTTTAATTCTACACATTGCCCAGTGCTCAACATGTAGAACAGCTAAAAGCAGAACGAAGAGTTGAAAAGGCAACTGAAAACCACCACTTGAATTCTTAATAATTATGGGCACTGAGCACAGCTAAGTCAGAAAAAGATTCTTCTTATGATTTCACACAAGATCAGGCTCAAGCACCTGATCAGAACAGAACGGGATAATACTTCCATCAGTATCTATCAAGGTACATTCTTCACTGGAGCAATCTTCCATATGAACATAATATCCCATCATTCTAAACAAGCCAACAAAAATCTCCTAATCTGTGTTTTCACTCATCCCTAAAACAACGACTCAAGTTCAGTAAGTGAAGTTTTGGAAGGCTTGTATTAACAAATCACTGCACACACAGACGTGACACTGCTTAGGGAAATGCCCAGTATGAAACTGGCACATGGCCTACCTTCTATTCAAACAGAAACGTTTGTTGTGAATTCCCTAAGCTTTATTTCACTATTAGGATTTCCCATAATCCCACTGAATTGTTCCCTTCTTTCTCATATGAAAAAAAAAAAGAAAAATAAAGTTAATCTTCAACAGAAAAGAAAGCAGCATTTATGCATCAGTACTAAAATGCCTGAAGGCATTCTTCAGGAAACATAGGAAATATGGTATGAGGCATTAAAGGAATGTTCTTAATAAACTCTTACACCCGTACACTACTTTGGTTGATTACTAGCTAGGATTTTAAAGTATAAATAAGATATCCTTGGGTACAATAATTTCTTTTGGTGATAACAAATTGTGAAGTACAAAAACATGTAGTGTGTAAAATATTTTATAGAAGCAAGAGGAAAAACAGCTCTTTGTCTATGACACGCCAGACTAGTCAGACAAGAAACAGGCCCTGAAAGACCAGCCCAAGACTTTAATCTATTTTGTCCACAGATCTTGTTGTTATACACAATTCTTGGCTTTTAAAAAATTCCCATGAAAATCTGTTGGCCTGCAAATATAACTTAAATGTGTTTTTCCATTTAACTCCTATTCTGTAAAAAAAAAATTACATTCTACATAGTTGTTTTTTTCCCTGAATGATACTGAAATGAGAGATTAATTTATAAAAATGACATAATGGAGTTTAGATTAAGTCTCAAACTTTACTACAGAATGGACTAACAACACCATTCAAAGCTGGATTATCTTTGAAAAAATAAAGGCCAGCATGACAAACAGAATATGTCAGCACGCCCCAAGGCATTCAGGGGATTAATGGGATCTGTACCAAAAAAAAACCCCAACAGTGCTTCTATGGGAAATGCTGTTCCACAGGATAAAAACAAAGCTGTGAATGAAACAGTATTAATTAATTTACTGAAAGACCTGAACAGTCTTTGTATCTGACAAAAATATTACACAGGAGTAGTTAAAATGGATTATGAGAATTTAGAATCCCCTCTTCCACAAATGCATACGCTAAAGTTAACTGCACCACTATACCTGAACTCGCACACACAGCTGAGCAATCCTTCCAGGCATGCTCCGACTGTAAATGTGCAACTTATCACTGATGTGACCTTCCTTCATATCTACTTATTTAAGTCTCCAAGATCCTGACTAAATGTATGTGACTACCCTTGAGCTACGAATTATCTCAATTTCTCAAAATTTTCATTTTTCCAAGGAAAAGAGATTCAAATAGGGAAATGTACTTAAATATGATACCCTTTTCTATTTTTAAATTCACACTCATCTTGGCATCATTACTTCTGCCCCACCAGGAGAAATAATACCTAAGGGTTCTCAGTTTTGAGAAGAAATCATGTTTTTTTTCATGTCAGTATCACAGCAATCCAGTAGGGATCACTAAACATACAGGGAAAGCCAAAGTAGGACACTATGCACAACCCATGGTTTTATCTGACCCTCATGATTAAAAGATACAGCAAAGACAGATCCTTTTCATTTCCTCCTTCAGAACAAACCTGAACTGACATACATCACAACAGTTCCAGAGTCTGTTCAAGTAACAGATTGACTGAAAGAAAAGGGAACAAGGGATTTTATCTCACCTGCTTGACGCACTGGAAATTCAACTTGGTCGGATACTATGATTTGCAGCAGACTTGGAGCAAAGTTGATGATCTTATAGGACTGAAATACATAGACAAGACAGTTAGTAAGTCACTGTATGAGCAAATGCTGAATGAGAAATACAAACTAAGGATTTTGCACTGCTTTTCCATCCTCCTCATGATGTACGGAAGGTTTCAGGACTTGAATTTACCCAGATCTGCAGAAATCCAAATTGTTACTCGTAAAAGCAAAGCATGTAACAGCACATGGACGGAATAAGTGATGTGAAAAAGTTCTCAATTAGAGATTAGTGATAATGAATATTTAAATAATTCTAAGAATATACAGTGAAAAGCGCTTGATATCTGTCTTTGAATTATTCAAAGTCAAAGGACTTTGACAAGCTTCATCAATATATGATATTTATTTGCAAAATAACTTGTGGTAGAAGAGCAATAACAAAGAGATTTTAAAAAATCATTTAGAATTGTTTTCACGTGTAAACAGCATCTTCATTGGCCATATACAACTATCTTTTAGCAAACTAGATGTATAGTGCACCTCAATAAAAACTTCGGTTTTTATTAAAATTAAGTGGGAAACAGTAGGACAAACATCTTCAATTAAAATCAAGTGTAGGCAGATAACACTTCAAAATCGACAGCCTTCATGGGAACTTTTCAAACACTACATCAGCCATGCAGCTGAAGAATTTCAAAGAGAAAACAATGCTCAGTGAACTTCTGAGCAAAGCATACCAGATTTAAAAGATGTGACAATCTGATAGCATTATCCTGCTGCCATCCACCAGGGCTCCTCCAGCGAGGAATCGCTGACTCAGCGTGGTGTAGTTACTACTAAGCCTTGGCAGCTCAGTACTGTTAAGTCAGAATTTTCATCCCTTGGATCCATGTGTTTTATGTTCAAAGAGAAAGGTTTCTTGGGGCTAGATGGCAGCAGCTTTCTGTACTTCACCTTTTATAGTATTTATTTCCACTAGATTATGCCTGGCAGTTCTGTGGTTGTTCCCAGAGTTGTGCTTTAAGCACAAGTATAGAACATCCGCCCATAAACTCCACCTCATTTGAAAGCTGTGAAATAAAAGATACTTTCTGCCCTTCATGTCCTCAGTTCTTTGATCTACCATATCCATAACAAGGTAAAATTACGCTGCTTTCATGATGTCTAAGAGTCCCAGCTGCATCACGACACTATCATTTGATAATTTTACCAAATCACTTAACTTTCTGGCCCTCATTTTATTCACTATAATGATAGTGTAATTCTAACTCAGAGACTCATTTGATGTTTATAGAGTAATCTGAGATCTGAGATAAAAGCAGTAGTGGCAAACCAAAAGCATACTCTCCTGCAACTTCCTTCTCTATAAATTTTAATTATCCCTAAGAAATGCTCCAAATAAAGTAAAAGCTGTAACACCCAGCACAGGAACTCCATTTATCTATAGGCGTGCTGAACTGGTTGAAGCATACTAGATTCCAAAGATCACCTTTTAATCCAGTATCCTGGAGTATAAAGCTTGCCCTTCAGTCACTACTGGAAAACATTGGTGGGTTCTGATGAGGCCACAGTCAACTGCAGCATCCTCTAGCATTCAACACCCAAGTTCCACAGAGATAAGGAAAGCATGAGAAATCCCAGCAGCACAGAAAACCAAAATCATGCATGAACTCTAACTGTCGTTTTTGTTTTCAACACTGCCTGTATACTGTTCTCAGACCCAACCTACAAAGCTTTTACTACTATAAACACATTGATTAAAAATGCAGCTTTGGGAGGTTGTTTTGTTGGCAGTGGTTTCCTGCTGCAATCCTACCAGTAACACATTTAGGCTGGAGACAGTGCTAACAATATTATTTCCCTTTCCCTGTCCAAACAGTTTTTACTAAATCTACATTAAAATCACTGCTACTGGAGGAAGCTTTATGGGTACCACTTGTGCTGGTGTACAAGCGCTCTCCCTGAAGTTTTGCCAGGATCTACACAAATATGGTTATTTGCTGCCGTGCCAGATCCGCTCAGCAAGCACCCGGAGTGACAAAAGCCCTGTTACGCAGACAGAAGGCACAGTGTCCCCGAGGGGGTCCTATCCCCGCCAGCACAGAGCTATGTGCGCGTCTTTACACTTCACACACCATCACCCCTACAGAGATCGCCAGGCCCATTAAATCCTTCTGTTCCCTATTACTGTCATTCCCGCAATTTACATTTTTACATGGCTGTGTTTACTACTCGTTATCAGAAACAAGAACACTGTGGAGATCAACAGAGACTGTGAGCCCACGGTAGAAACAAGACACGCGATTCTGTTGTATTTGTGAAGCTCAAATTACATCCTGCTCATTTGGGCAGCAACAAACTCGGGTCAGGAAAACTACATGCTGTTTGCAGTTTTTAGAACAGAGGACTTTTTAAAAAGCTGCATGCAGCAACATTTTTCCTATACCAGCACATTCTCGTTTATTTAGTTGTCATGCTAATTGTGATCTTGGGATGTGTCCCTTCCCTTCGTTGCCCGGGACATCAGCAAACAAAACGGAACCTGTCACAGGAGCAGGTGCAGAGCCATTGTCAGGTGTATCCTGTGACATGGAAATGGACATGGAAGAGACCTTGGAGCTGGATGAGTTCAACAAGACAGTTCTTTATATCACTGCAGCTGCACCTTAACAAAAGGAGAGCAGGAATATTGTCAGTGCCACGAAGGAACACTGAACTATCTGCTAATTTTGAAGAGCTGTGCCTGGGAGCCACAGGGAGGCACCAGATGGCTGAAACAGACCTTCAGCACAGCTCCCACAACACAGCATGGTGCTTTGTGCCTTTGGTGAATAATTATACTGCCTTGAACCCACTTTGTTGGGATCTGGTAAAACTTTTCTTGAAAGTGCTGATCCATTGGAGCATATGTTTATTTTGAAAGAGAAAGTTTTTGATAAACAAACTTTCACTGAGTACTTACAAAGAACAATTCTTTTAAAGCTGTGTAAAACACATACAGGCTGTTCCTGTAGGAATCCTAGATCAGAGTATTTATGCTAAAAGAGAATCTAATTTAATTTCTACTGGGATTAAGAGGATGGGATATAGCAGTGTGCAAGGCTAGCAGCTGTACTGGGAGAGGTATACAGCATTGGGAAGGCATAATTGGGTAAATTTACAGCAACGGTGAAGAGATGCATATGATCCATGCATGTTGTTCCATCTGTGCCCACTGTCTCAGGATCTGTGCACTGCAGCTGCACAGATTTTTGCACTCTGTTCCTTAACCTTTGGCCTGATGTATCCTTCCCTGCGTCACCATCACTGCCTTCAAAAGCTCAGAGAACACATTTTTTATGCCTATTTCCTCTTCCATTTGATTAGGTACAGAACATCGGACAACCAAGTAAGCCTCAGATGAGACACTGAAAAACATCAAGATGAAGATCATCACTTGTAAAGGGCTAGAATACAAGGTGAGATAAGTAGCAAAAAATATATGAAAATATCCCCAAATGGATCCTACTGAAGCAAATACTTTTCACATCTGTTCAGATTTGGCTCCTAGGTTTCTCACACATCACACACTACTACACTCATTTCATGAAGCATTACTCTTATGTCTTGCTTGCTGTCACATTTAAAGACCACAGCTGCTCCAGAGCCACAAGAGTCAGTAACCTTCCCATTGTACTGATGGCAACCACAGTGCTTGAGTGCAGAATGGCACTGAAAGGTGCTTCTTCCCCTGCAAAACATCAGGACACTCTAGGACAACGGATATGGAAAATCTGGAAGCCTTCCTTCAGGTTCTGCAAGCCAAGATCATCCTTCTCCAACAGTAGTAAACATCATTTTTATACCTCTGAATACAAGTATGGCACATAAAAATCACTGAAAAAACAGGGCACTGCATCTCTGTTTGCAAAAACAAACACACAGAAGAAATTTGTACCTTGAATTCATGAGCAATTAACTTTTTACAAAGATTATTTCAAGGCTTAAATATATCTGATCTAAATGCTCAGCTACCTGGTTTATCAAGTCTTATTTTCTGTTTCTGTGTACTGAAAATGTATACTTAGAAATTCCATCGGCAAAGTTAGGAGTATTTCTGCAGTTTTTAATAGCATTTTCACTCTTGTTTTTTTATACTGTCAGTAACAGAGAGTTGTTAAACTAGAACTTCAAAAGACACTTTTTTCTTTCCCTGCCTATACACAAAGGCACTATTTGGGGAGGGGAAAACACATAGTGTTTTCATACAGAGTGAAAATAAGTTTGTGCAAGAACCCACTTTAATTTCTTTCATGTATGGGTTCTGCTGCCAAATTCACCCAAATTCATTCATCAGTATCGAAGAAACTTCACTTTCCACGTAAGTTTTAATTATACAAGTCAACTTCCTCACCAAAATGGTCTCAGATTTCTCCCTCTAGGTATCATGAAGTGCTCACTGGCACTTTCAGAGTGGACCCCTGCCTGCTATGGCAGCCAGCTTAACAAAGTCATGGAAAGATATGAAAGGAAGCCAAACTTTATTCTGGACTCTCCTACTTTTGGGTAATCTTTTCAGACTTCTTCCAGCACTGCTACTCAGTCGCTGTCAAAGCCAAATTATGTAACTCCTACTCAATATCTTAAAAGCCCAACTGTATTTCTGCAATTGAGTTCTCATTTTCTCCTTTGCTACAGGCCAAAGGAAAGCGTTACAGCATGTTGAGCCACTGAAGACTAACGCATAAAAACTGTAAGGGAATACCATCTGAACTGGAATTAGAATGACTCTGTATGTTCAGTAATCAGGCAGTATATTTTACAGCACTCCAAGAACTGGCACATGAAAGCAGTATATAACCATAATACAAATAAATAAATGAACCCAGCAAAAGTCCTTGAAGTCCAGGAGACAGATATAGCAGGAGTAATAGCCTAGGACAGATACTGACAAACGATGTACAGAAACTGAATATATTTCTTAGTATGATAACTAACTGTTCTACTAAGTACAGTGTGAGTTACAAATATCATCATCAAGTGCACACTAATTATGCGAGAGAGCTGAACTAAAAAAAAGGCAGGGCAGGGGGGCAAAAGAAAAAGAGGCAGATGGAAAGACATGTACACTTGGAAACCCAAGAGGCTAAAAGGGAAACGACAGCAATTACAGACATAGACACTGACCTGGCAGGAAATTACTGCTCCAGTTTAGCAAGAATCAGATTTCAAATAAATCCCACGCTTACAGTTGTGTTCAGATCACAGAGAGAAGTGAAGTTTTTTGATGATTTGGAAGTAGCATCAACCAAGAAGAGAGATCAGAAAAATCCTACTAAGAGCTGAATGATCTGTAGAACTGTGTCAACAAAAATGGAATGGAGTAAGAGGCCAAAATACACAGTCAGGTACTCAAGGATGACAGAATTTCTCCCAAAAACTTGAGGTTTCTGAGTGAAGAACAATAACAGAATAAAAGGACTTTGGTATATTGAGTCATAAGAAGCATGTAGATGTTGGACACAAAGAAGATAACTGTAGATTTAGTATTTAATGAGGTGTTAACAGAATCAAGCACAAGACTTTCTGGAACACTGCAAACACAAATGACCAGACTCCACAAGAAAGATTATTTCAAAGGGAAACTGGTGCAGAAAAGAGCTGTGCTCCTATTACTAGATTTCATAAATTCAGTTTTATGATATGGCAGAGGAAACATAGCCTGCTGAGGCTAGAAAAGCAGGCCTCTAGGGGATCAGCCTTTGACAAATCTGTCAGAGAGGGTACCAAGAAACCTGTTCTAATTAAGAAGTAAGATTGGCACAAATGGATATAAATGGACCATAAACTAATTTTGGCTGAAAACCAACACTTCTTTCTAGCTGCAAGGGAAAGAAAATTCACAAGCAGCCTTCCAATAGTTATAAAAAGGACAAGAAGACAAAAAAAAAGGAATCCTGATTCCATTTCTGAATGTAGTTAGATGATAATTGAGAAGGCAGACAGCAAATTCTCTGATTTGGGTGTATCTTTATGCAGCTGCAGGAACATACAGAGGAGAAAGAAGCATTTTCAAACATGCTGGGTCTTCTTACAGGTAGAAAACCTTTCGTTCAAGTAAACTCTATTCCCCATGCTCTACACTGTAGGCAAACTATGGAGTCAGGACTATTAGGATATTGTTCTAAAGGACTCTGTACTGGTGCAGCACTGAGGTGCCTACAGCCAGCCACTGTCTTGGTGCAGCAGTAGGATTTACAATGTCTGGGAAGCACACGGCAGTACCTGGATTCAAAGTTGAATGCCAATGTACACTGCAGATGAGCTAACACAGCCAAGTTTTACCTCAACACTCTCAAATCTGTCTCAAGAGCAGCATCCCTGTAACTCTGACACAGAATAAAGGTGACTCCTGTTCTGTCCGGCCAAGGGCTCAATCATCACTTTGGGTACTTAGTGCCAGAGAGTTTTCTGTTTAGTTGGTGGATTGGTCTCTTTGACACAACAAGATAAATGCTAGAACAGCACCTGGATTCCAGCACTTGCAGGAACACAGGGACATGTCAACAGTGCCATCAGATACACGGGAGGGGAGTCTGACACATCACTTTGAAGCCTTGCTTCAAAAGCACTAAAAAGCTTCAAGATGTCAAAGTCCCACGTTAAGCAACATTGCTCAGGAGCACTTTTGTTCCTCTCATCAAGAGAGTCATGTCAAACCCAGCACTGCATCAGTACATTTTGTCAGACACATCATGCTTCACCTAGTAACAGGAAGCCTACACAAAAATAGGTATGTCTCGATTCCAGGATTAATTCTTCATAATAGTTAGAAAAAAGAAAATTCATCAAGTATTTTAAAAGAAAAATCTGCATCTCAACCTCTTCTCAATAAGTCTGCTTGCACTCTTGAATCTAAAACCATTGTCTTTCATGAGAATTGCACTATCCATCACTTAAACTTACAACATTCTACAGCTCTCAGTCTTGAAATGCTTTCAAGTCTGTTCTTGAGCTTCACAGCACTTACTGATGATGACAGTGTTAGGAGCAGGACCCAGGAACCCAGAACCTGCCTCTCTGTTCTGAACAGAACACCGTAGTAGCAGTAGTTTGTATTGTAGCTTTTACTGCTGTGCAACAGGCTGCTGATAAATATTTGTCATTTCCCTCTCAACCGTTAACGGTAGGGATAAAAACAGATACTGATGGATTTTTAAAGTAACTATGCCAAAAAAAGAAAAAAGCCTTGCATCCTTATCTAAATATTCACAAGAGCATTCTCAATGTCCAGCACTTAATCCACTGATTTACGAAAGGAATTTACCAACTGCTAAAGCAAGGATTAGCTGTATCTAACTCAGAAGGAGTTTTAAGTTGCCTAAATATAAAACTAAGCTGGAGGAGCAATCCTGAATAGCGTAATTCCTGACAGCCAATTCTCATTGTTTGTTAACACATCAACATAACCAAAAAATCCCGAGTCCTCAAAGAGAATTCATCAAATATTCCATCAAAGCAAAGAAAATAAAACTTTATTACTGCTGTGCAAGGGAACTTTCTCTTTTCTCAAGCGTTCAAAGGTTGGGGTCACAGCTTCATTCAGTGCATACTGCAGCTACTTTAGGAAAAGGTGTTTCCCCCAGAGGGTGGCTGGGCACTGCAGCAGGCTCCCCGGGGAAGCGATCACAGCACCGAGCCTGACAGGGTCGAAGTGTTTGGACAACTCTCTCAGGCACAAGGCGCGACTCTTGGGGACGCTGCGGGGGTAGGGGCAGGAGTTGGACTCGATGATCCTGACGGGTCCCTTCCAATTCTGCATATTTTGTAATTCTATGATTAGTTAGTTGTAGGATGCCACAACATATACTGTCCGTGAAAACTTCCACTTGCCGTGCAGCTGAACGGGACAGAACGCCCCCCCGAGCGTCACTGCCGCCCGTCCCCCGGGAGCGCCAGGGCGCGACCCGCGCAGGGCCACACCAATGTCATCCCTTCCAGCAGCGAGCGGCAGCGCCCCGGCCACGCCGAGCGCGGGGCTGCCGCCCTAGGGAGCGGCTGCCCCGGAGTCACAGCACTGAGCGAAGGCAGCGACCCGCCCGCCCCGGCCCCCGGCCCTCGGCCCCCGCTGCGGGCGGGCGCTCCCGGCGCGGAGCAGGGGTCGCCCCCCGCCCCTGCCGGCGGAGCCGGACGCCCCCGTGCCGCGCGTGGGGCGGGCCGCCCGCGGGTCCCCCCTTACCTGGTTGAGCTCGTTCTCGGCGGCGACGCGCAGCTTGGGGTCTATGGTGCCCTTCAGCGCCTGGATGATCCTGTTGGGATCCATCTTGGCCTTCGCCCGCCAGCAGGCAGCGCTTTCCCGGGGCAGCAAGATGCGGAGAAGTCGCCACTAGCGCCGCCGCCCCCCCGTGCTACCAGCGCGGGCCCGCGTCCCCCACCCCCCCGGCCCCTCTCCACAGCCATTCACCGGTTTGCGACAGCTGGATATCGGGAAACGGGCGCTGCTTTACGGCGCGGCGCCGCCTTCTGGCTTCGGGAAGGGGTCGGCGAGAGGTGGCCGCCATGTTGATGTACGGCTAAGAGTGCGTCGGAAGGGCTCGGAGGGGGGTGGGGTTTGCAGGCCGAGACTCCATGGGGGCGGCCATGTCGCTGTACGGAACGCCGGGGGTGGCTCCCGCCACGCCCTGCACGGACTATTTTTTAATTAAGATTTTAATTAAAATCCCATTTTTCTTTCTTAATAGTTTACTCTGTTTTTCTAGGTAGATTTTCAGCTTTCATGCCCAAGCTTGGATGTTCTGTATTTGTTACCACGCCAGTCGTTCGCACAAGAACGAAGAGTGAGAACACGGGGGCTGAACGTGGTGGGGAGGTCAGGTCCATGGAGGAGTACTGACTGCCATTGCTCACACTTATCCCGGTGCCTCCACGATGTGCCCCGCACAAGAACTACTGACAACATACAGGAGACAGAAATTTGCTGCAAGGAGTTTACTAAAATACACAGTTGGGTCACACGTTATAATTCCTACTCCGCTTCTGAGTAGGTTTCTGTGTGGTACTTGTTTTCATCGTTATGTAGATTAGTAGAACCTGAAAAGGGTTCGCTTATCTTAACTCTGTTTGTGTGTGAGAGGGAGTGGGAGATGCTTACCCCTCAGGTTGGCAGGAATATACAAACACCACCTCTAACACTTCAAGACTCAAAACACTTGTCCCACCCTAATTCTCCACCTCTTGCCGATTATTTTCCCCCTTAAATCCTAGAACATGCAAGTGAATCAAAGTAAGATTTAAGCATCCGTGCAGAGGTAAGAAAGATGGCTGTCAAAGGTGTAAATCTCAGGTACACAGACCAGAAAAACCTCTAATACAGTTTTGGTGAGACAAATCCTTTGGTTACTTCTGCAGGTGAAGTTTTATGTAACATTTGCAAACCAGAGACGTAATTAACTGGTAGGAAGAACAGAAAGACTATTTGCTGTTCTTAGGAGGAGTCAAACACAACAGCAATTACAAGACCATCCCATTATATAGTTGCCTTAATAATACAATTGGACAATATGTCATTTGTTCATTGTAATTACAGTATAAACCAAAACATTAAAGCAGCTGGCACTATAGTGATTTAATAATAATTTTTAAAATGTCCCTTAGTAACTTTGCCTCTAATTAAAAAGGAATCTAGCTGTCACAATAAATTGCACCTACCTGGCATGTGGAGATCGTGCGCTCTCTTGTGGTTTTCATCACCTTTTGAAGTGTTGCACAACACTTGATCATTATCTTTCCTTTTTCCTGTGATGCAGCTCTACAGCATCTAGCAAGAAATCATAGGCACTTTCATTGACCTTTCTATTTCTTCTTGAAAGCAGATGAGAGTATGCTCAGTAATCATAAAATTCAAACAAAAACAATGTTAGTGTAAAACGTCTATATTATTAACTATGGTAATTCTTGGTTGCTGTCCCATTTTGATTAAGGTAATAGTCCAGGGAAAACTGCCCATTTAAAAAATCTTGGATTCCATATCATAGCAAATCCAAATTGCTTTAAATGATTTTTAGTGGTGTTATCTCTATTCCTTTTTCCCAAATTAGCATGTTATGGACAGTTTAAGAACAGTTTCTGTGTATTCACCTGTGGTAAGTGAACCTAAAAGTTATTAAACTTTTTTTTTAAGGGTTTCTGTAGAGCTAGTGATGTAAAACATATCAATAAAGAACAGAATATACTTAAAGGGTATTCTGGGCTGGATGCCCAACCCTTCTTTCTGTACAATATGAACCTTCATAGATACCAGCGACTATGTTAGTCTAAAAATAAGTTTAGTCATTAATTAAAATATTTTGTGTGACTTCAAAAACTTCAGGATGAAAGTAACTATTGCAAACAAGAACTCATATGCCTTTTTGTTAGAGCAAAGATTCTGTTAACATTTAGGTTTTCATCTACTTACAATGAAAGGTTGGGTTTGGTTTTTTTAATCTGTTCTGTTACTGTGCAAATAAAGAATCTGAGGTAAAATTCAGAGATTTTTCTTGTCAGCTCTCTAACTGTTGGTGACAGAAGATCCAATGTGAAAGGACAAGTGAGATATTAAAAACCTAAAACAAATCAAAGTTTCACCACTATGCAAGGAAGAAAAAAAAAAAAAAAGAATAATAGTACCAGGGAAATAGGGAGATAATGCAAAGCAAAGATGTGGTGTTTTTAAAGCTACAAAGCTTTCCAGGTGTGCTATAACAACAGTCTTGTAAAGTATTTAGAACAAACAATCTTATTTTAAAACTCAGTTGTGAAATTAAGGATTTTCAAAGTAAGCAGTTTGACCTGAACAAAATTAGACCTGGTTCTTTACAGAGTTGCCATCCAGATAACTCCACTAAATTCAAGAACTTTAGGGAAAACTTGAAAAGCCTTACATCTTGCAGGTTACGTGCAATTAGTCCTTTGACTTTTGGTGGCTTTGAAATGCACTCTGGTGAGGTCTCAGCTGCACATAACATGCTTTCTGCTGGCATAGGGCAGCTCCTCTCTTTTCATGCCAACCAAGTCCCTTTAGGGCAGCACCTGGTTGTAAATTGTAGTTAACAACAGACACTCCTGAAAAAGCATGAGAAAGAAAACAGCTCTCCTCTGTGTGATGTGCTACAGGCTAAAAGCAAACCACTGTTTTCAATGCAGGGTTTATTTCATTGTAGTAAATGGTAACTAATGATCACTAAAGTGATTGGATCTGTACTTAGCATAAAGCCTTCATTCCATACCAACCACATCTCAAACCTTACTCTGTGGCCCAAAAGCTGTATTAACTAATAGTTTCCAGCCAGATTAGTACTTCACAATATTATTTTTTCAAGCACAATACTGCCAGGACACAGTCAATCCACAAATATGAATGCATAAGGTTTTTTCCTTCTTAATATTATTGTTTATAATTGGAAGAAAATTAAGTTGACCAGAGACTTGTGAATAAGTGTCTAACTAGGGTTAATTCATTTTTACCTGGTAATGGCACTGTATCTCTCCAATTATAATACACAACAGACTTTTCACATCCTTCACAAGACATGTATAGGTTTAATAAAGAGTTAGAAAGGATGATCTGCAGCAGATAAACGTATTCCAATCCTCCAGACACAAGCCCTTGATCAGAGTTAAAATTCAAAAGCCATCTTCCTTGCTGACTGTTTTGTTGGAGTAGCTGTAGATAGCAAAGCAGTTAGGGAGGAAAAGGTACCTAAACTCAACCAGCAGGAGGACAGAGCAGTGGGATTCTCTGCACCACCACTGCAGCCTGCAGGATGGAGGTTTCCTTAGCTGCAGGAAGTCAACCATGGCAGTGGTGGGAGGCTATTCATTGTGTCCCCTCAGTTCCATGACCTAGAAAAAGCCCCACAAAAGTCACAAGTCCATTAGAATTTTGAAAACTTTAAGAATACCTTTTTTTACAGTTGAACCCCCCTGAGCTCGCAGCTCAGCCCCACACAGCCACTCCCCTCCAGTGGGACAGGGAAAAGAACTGGAAAGGCAAAAGTGAGAAAGCCCTTTGGTTTAGATAAAGACAATTTAACAGGTAAAGCAGAAACTCAAGCAAAGCCAAGCAAGGAATTCATTCACCAGTTCCAATGGGCAGGCAGGTGTCCAGCCATTTACAGGAAAGCAGGCCTCTGTCACTTGTAATGGTGACTTCAGATGTCAGATACTGTAACTCAAATGTCCCCCTCTCCTCATTCTTCCCCCAGCTTGTACTGCTAAGCACATCATCATCTGGTCTGGGGTATCCCTTGGGTCAGCTGGGATTAGCTGTCCTGGCTTTAACCCTCCCAAATCCTCAAGCTGCCCCAGCTCACTCACTGGTGGGGCAGTGTGAGAAGCAGAAATGGCCTTGACTCTGTGCAAGCCTGCTCAGCAATAACCAAAACATCCCTAAGTTATCAACACCGTTTTGGTCACAAATCCAAAACACAGCCCTATACCAGTTGTTCTGATTAACTCTCTCCCAGCCAAACCATTACACCCTCCCATTTCAGGATAGTTCCAATATTTCACTGACGTCAAGAGAAAGAAACACAAATCTATTCACTATGAAAACATAGTGTTTCTTACCTTTAAAGTTTCTCTTCAGCAGGCTGCACGAGAGAAGTGAATTGGAGAGAATTTAAGTAGTATCCAATTTGCACAGCAGACAGCAATAGGAAATTCAGCAGAATGATGATGCCCCTTTGTATGTTTTAATTAGACCCTATTATAATCCTTATATAGTTAAGGCATTTTTCCTAATGCAATGATTCAATCAACTTAACAATTACTGAGGACAAAGGAGTGTAAATACAACTTACACTGTCAGACAGTATTTACATGAAAACTACATAATAAGATATTTTGAGGTTGTGAAACTCATCTGTTAAATGCTTTGCCCAGAAGCAGAATAAAGAACTAGGGGGCATTGGTCTGAACATACTAACTAGGCTAAAACTGTGTCAGTAGAAAATGCACTGAAATATTCTGAAGTGCTTTGAGAAGCTTTCAAAAACAATTATTAGTCTAGAAGCATAATAAGAGATCCCTACCCCAGTGTTTATCATCATGGAAAAAATCATATGACAAAATTTTTCATTGTTTTGGAGATCAGAATAGCAATTTTCTACCAGTGGATTTTGGCCAGCTATGGGTATGGAAAAAAGATGCTTGGCTTGGTCTTCTGCATTTAAGGTTTAGTTACAACCTTTTGAGTTGCTTCTAGTCTGAAACCTTCTTTAGGACAGTACCTGTTCAGTTGTACTTAACCTCCTTTTTGTAATAGAGGTTAGTAAAACCTCTGTTCACAGCTGGCCAAAAACACAGTGAAAACCTTCTAGCTAAGAAGGTACTGTGTGAGAAACCTACAGGATTAAATCAATCATATTTTTTAGTTATTCTAAGGGATGAGACTTCTCCAAGCTGTGTATTCTTTTCAATAAAAAATAGCAGAACAAACCCAAGAAATTTTATCTTGAAGTAGCTACTAACATAGTTATTGTGATTCAGGCCAATGAAGCCTAAAAAACCTTCACTTGAAAAAAATCCATTACATGACCTATGCTCAAGGAATTGTATAATTATATTTTCTATTTCATCTTACCTGCACAATTCTGGCTATAACTGTGTACTCATTTTAGCTAGGAATGTAAAAATCCATCTTACACAAGATACAGCTCTGAAACTGAAATGTTTACCTCATATCTAGTTAAGCTGCCACCAACTCTGTAGTGGGTATTCCAGAAATAAGCCTTTTTATTGGCCAAAGTCAGAACTAGCATGTTTAAAAATATAACATTTAGGTTTAGTGTACAATAGTTAATGATGGACATTTTTGTAGCGGTAGAAACTAGGTTTCCCAAAGCTTGTCCTACCTCAACTTCTCTCAAAATTTGCTGAAGGAATTAAACCCAGACTTGAAATATGATCACCCTGAAAATCTGTATGAAAAAGAAAGTTGAATTTGGAGCAAAATCAAGATCTTTATGCCAGCAACTTTATGAAGTCATGCCAGACTTGTTTTGGCATCTGCATGATAGCAAGGGCAAACTGAAGTTAGAGGCTATGAAACTACTCAGCTAGAAATAGCAGCTTTATACCAGGTCTGAACTTTATCCAGCTTAGGTTTTTACTTTTATTTAAATAAGCAGATAGATCAGCTGCTTTCACTTTGCATAGTTCTGCTTTAGCCTTAGATATACCAGTCAGGCTTGTGCATTTGCTAATTTAGTACACTCAGATCAAGTGCTTTCTACTATTAAAACAATTTACTGAAGTTTTTGAGAGGAGTGAGAGCCAGTGACCTACCTTCTTACTAGTTCATATCACCATTTTAAACATGGAAAATATTTATAGTATTTGACACTGCAGCTTAGGAAAGGACATACATCATGGCTGTTCAGTTCTCAGGCCACAAGAGTGCTGAAGTCTGGTCAAAAAGCTCAAGAGCTTTAAGAAAGGGATATAAGAAATGCTTCCTAGCATTTTTATTCAAGTTTGATATAAAATGCAAGCATCAGTCTTCAACTACAAATACCAAGTTCCTCAGCAGTTCTCTAAAATGAGGAAATAACCTGTATGAAAATCTGATTCAAGCCTCATGCAGGGGGGAAGCCATACACATTTATGCTTCATCAAGTTGATTTTTAACTTTAAAATGCATTTCAGCTGAATAACAGTGTAAGCCAGCCCCTTCAGTGATTGTCTCCAGGTTTAAGAATTTCAACTACTTCACTACTGAAGGACTGATGCTATGGCCATGCCAGATTTTGAGAGTATATATTTAAAAGAAGTCATTCTAATAAAGTATGTAGCATTGTGCTTGTAATTCCTTGCCTTCCAAGTAATTTCTTGACCCTTAGAAAGAAGAAAGGTAGCTAAATCTTGAATTCATTTTGATCAAGGTAACACTCTTGATAATAGCATTAAGCAGGAACTAAAACAATCCCAGTTAAATACAAATTACCCTAAATTATTCAAACTTGGAGACTGGTTCTGTGTAATATTTATGTACATTCCACATCAGGAAAGAGGTCAGTGATAAGTGTTAAAATTAAAACCACGGGCAAGATTAATACTAAAATGCATATTAACTTGTTTTATTGAGGCACAACAAGGCATTGTGAATAGCCCATACTTGAGGCAATCAATAGTGTAGTAAGCTGGACATCAATACAGTTTAGGGTAAGTGCAAACAATATACATTCACAGCTTTATTAGCAAGGCTACATCACAACTGATAAAGTGCCAAATTAGTGCTGATTCAGTACCCCAACTCCATGATTTCACCTTGCAAAACAGGACCACCATTTCCCCCCAATAATGGAACCACATATCCTCTATAAAGTCATTAGTAAGTGCAAAGCTAGTCCCACCCCCCTCACCAAGGTGTTTGGAGCAGCTCTTTTGTAAACATTGCACTGGATTTTAGTCCTGATAAAGGAGGTATCCTGAAAAGGTGGAGTATTTCCAGCTACTTCCATAGATGGCTCCCCGATGCAGCCGTAGCCAGATCTGATCTCCCTGGAACAGCTGCAGGACTGCATGGTTACTGGCTGTTTCATGGTCAGGAGCCCCATCATTTGCATATGCTGACACAAGGACCTCTTCATTCTTCATGAGATTCACATACAGAGGGACATTGACAGCCAGTTTCAGCATGTGGAAGATGAAGACATAGGTACCATTCACCGGACAGTTGAACCTACCAAACTGGATATCAAAAGTTTCTCCGAGGTTGTTCAGCAACAGGTCAAACACAATGGGCTGATCTAGAGTTCCAGGGGCCAGGTTGGATGTTCGAGCAGCAGAGAAGGCGACTCTCATCTGCTGTGGGAGCGGGTAGACGTGCACCGGGAGTATGGTGGCAGCCTGGCTCGTCACTGGCACATCCACAGGGGTGATGCTGCGGGAGTCTCCCTGCCCAGAGTCCCCACTGTTAAAGGTCTCATTGTCTCGTTCTGGGCTGCTCACCTGAGAGGAGTCACTCCACCCTGCTGTTAAGAACCATTAGCAGTGATAAGTATTATAACAGAAGGATATCCTTAAGCCTGTGAGCATAATCTTAAGCAGCAAGTGTACAGGCTTCACAGCAGATTGATCTTTGAGCCACAGCAAGTTGTCAAAGGACCCCGGTGAGACCAGAACTTTGAAGCTGGCTTACACTCATCACACTTGCATTGAGCAGGATGAGATATAACTGGGCTATGAACAATTACTTCTTATACTTCCAAGTAGGAGAGGGCAGTAGGTTGTGATGGTTTTAGCTTTAGTATGTCATATGTCAACTTAAAAAGCATATGCTAAGTTTTGAGATGGAATAAAATGTAATTGCTGAAAACACTGACAAAGTTAGAGCCAAGTCATCTTCAAGATCTCAATTTTCACTTCATGTTACTCAACATTGTTCTTCTGCAGTTGCATTTCTCATAGACCTTGTCAACTTATGTTGCTAGAATATTTTAAATCTGACAAACTAGTGTTTCTTTTAAGTCTTCTGCACCTCACTCCCCAAAATAAAGCTTGTTAATATTTCCAAATATCCAAGTTAAGAGGGTCTAGAGTGAAAACATTATTAGATCTGAGAAATTTAGAGTAGTTGCAGTCAAGCTGCAAACCACTGTTATTTCCACTGGAAAACAACACCTTAAGGCAGACATTAAAATAAGTGAAGTTGCTGTGAGATGAGTACTTCCATCAGCTATTAATTCACCATGATCTCCTATTTAGTTCTCTTCTGAAATATACTCTCTGAATCATCCCTCAAGCTAGGATATGACCTGCTTTATCCTAAAACAGCTTTCACAATATGCCATAATTTCCCTTGAGTCTCTAAAATAGTGATCTACAGCTTCTCTTCATCTCACTTCTCACCTGTAGCACTGGAAGTCCATCTTTTTCCAGCACATACTGTAGGAACAAATCATCTTGCTTCCAGCTTTTGAAAACACATGCTATTCATGTTTGGACTCAAATAACAAGCCTTATTTCTTTAGGTTTTATAGTCCACTATGGGAATACTGAGTAAACCTGTATTAGCAAATATATTTTCATAGAAAAAGTTAACCCAGTGCTTCTTCCCTGAAGACAGGGAACTGCCCTGTGTGTGTTTTCCTAGTCAGGTTATTTGTGAAGTTTGATAAGGTACCATTGTGTCAAAATTTGGACATGAAGACTCCAGACTGAGAATAGTGAAATTAAATCTTCTGCTGTGAAATGCTGTGGAATAACAGCACTCAAGCCTCCAGCTAAGCTTGGTTAACTTACACCAAACTTGATCTGGGCTTAGGTGAGTGATGGTATTCTGCTTTTTACACTGGTCCCAGTAACACCCCAGCTGCAATGCCAAGCACATACTGCACCACTGGGGTCCTGATTTTGGCCTTACCTCTTGAATTTGCTCGAGGACCACTACTTATCCCACCTCGTTTATAGCACTGCTGGTAATTAACGTCCTAAAAGAGGAAGATGGCTATAAGCAAATCTGAACTCATATGAGGCAAATACACTTTTTTGCACAATTAATCTAATCTCTAGAATAGATAAGAGCAGAGTTCAGAAACAAGGCGTAGAAAAACAGTTTTATTTATGGAAAATCTACTTTTATAATAGCTTGTATGATATTAAAAGATCAACTTTGATGCCTGTTGTAGCAAGCTGGCTTCTGAACTGTGGACTCAGTTGAGGTTACTGAGCACTACCCTTACATCAAGTCTCTTCAAAGTCCACGAGCCTGCACAGAAGACATTGACAGATCCTCCTCAAACCAGGAACTTTTGCCTTCTAACTTAATTTATGGGTTTTTTTGGTATTTTTTGTGGCCTAACCACATTGTCAGCCAGTCCATTTAGTTCATTATTTTACATTACAGAGGCATTTTAGTGAACCAACATTTAAAATAATACACCAGACTCATACAATGTTATTTGCCATCTGTTTGCATTTCAAAGATTCCTTTCAGACTAAAATCAACCTGTCATACAGAGATGTTACCTGTCTGACCTGACTTATTTCAGCTGCAGTCTGCCATTCCACAAAAAGGTTTGTCTGTGAAACAAAACTAACCTCTAGCTCGTAAGTAATAGTTCACCTGCTAAGATAATGAAAAACTACCATGTTAGAAGATTTGCCTCCTGTACAGTGGAAGGCTACTGGAAATAAATACTTACCCTCTGAGAATATGGCATTCCAGCATAATCTCTACCAGGAAACTGTAGCTGGCCATAGTTGCCATTAGTTAATGAAGGTGAACCTCTGTAAGCATCAAAACCTGTTCAAATAGAGTTGATTATTCAGTATCATTCATTGTTTGAATTACAGTACAAGTCCAGAATATAACTATAGCTCTTTTTTTGGCAATTATGTACATTAAGTTATGCAGTAACAGAGCTGTTCTTAAATTTGGTATTGAATAGCAACCTTGCTACTCCTATAAGAAATGTATTTCATTAGCTAGTCATAACTTACACACTGGCTATATCAAAATTGTATATTTAAAAATATTAACATCAGGCCTTATCCATTGCCTGTGATACTAATGGGATGTCACAGAACAGCTGAAAAGCTTGCTAAATCCAGAAATGGGATTAAGAAACACTTTCTTTTCTGTTACATACACTGAGCTATTACTTGTATACATTTAGGGACTACTATAATATTTGACCTCCTTAGCTATTAACTTAATAACTTAAGCTATTATTTAACTACCAAAGCAGAGCTGCAAGTAACTTCATACCAGACACCACCAAACCCTGGACTGCTGTTAAGTCAGAACTATAAAACTCATTATCTGGTACATGTTCCTACAGAGTATTGAAGAGACTCAGCCCAACAACTGAAGCACCTATCACAGAGTAAGTGCCCTTCCACTTCAGAGGGGAATAGGCCACAACCTGCAGCTGGTTGCTACCAATAGCCTTAATTTAGTAACTGCTTAAAGTCTGCTGAAACTCTCTATAGTACTTCAGCTAGCAGCAAAGGATTTGGTCGGCAGAGACCAAATAAGCCTCCTCTTAAAACTGTTCAGTTTGCTATTCATCTAGAAGGACTCTTCACTACTGGGAGCCTCTTTCCCATCCTAGTTTCTTCTGTGAATATTAAAGTGAGCAGTGCTAAGCAAAAAATACTTTATTTTGGGCAAACACAGCAAGTGATATCTGAAGAGAAAGATGCTTGCCCAGTTTGTCAGCAAGATGCCAAGAGAAAGAATTATGTGGGTAAAAAGTTCAGAACAGCAAATGGAATTGCCAACAAAAAAGTCCATGAGTAATCTAAGAAACTATTAGTCAAAGTTTCTATCTTCATATTTAGGCAAGCTATGAAACTGCTCTGCCATTTGGCCTGACATCTCACAAATAAAAGTAAGAATGAACTTCCTTAAGTTCTGCAGAGGGTCCCATTCTCTGTACACTCTTAGTCTTGTTTTGAGACATTTCACATGTAGAACATTAATTTAATGCTGTGTTGTGTTAAATCACATTCTACTGGCAGTACATTAGAGCTTCTTTAGGATGACAGTAAATACAGACATACCTTTGTACCCACCAGGGGAGCGATATGAGTTAGCCAGTGACCTTCCACCTCTAGCAGATCCTCTGACAGACCCACGACTGTTGAGGTAAGGCTGAGGGGGTCTGGGAATAACATTAGCCTGTGCTGGATAAAAGGCAAGGCTACCATTGATAACAGGAACAGCTCCATCAGGTTGATAGTTCACTGCTTAAAACAGAAGGCACAGATAAGTCAAAGCTTTTTATAACTGCAGTAAGTTACCCCACACAGAAGGGCAGTATTAGGACATTCAGAGACCAGTTAAGCTGTTCTGAATATTCTGTTCCTCTGTTCCTTCATTACTTTCTTTAATTGATTGGATTCTTCCCTTTGTTTTGTAAAGTGTAGTTAAAATCTACTGCAGACAGCACAGGCTCTCAGTGTAAGGCCCTAATGCATTCAACAAGAGTCAGCTACACAGGTGAGAAGTTAGCTAGCCTAGCATGAAAATACCCAATCTAGGTTAAAATCAAGTAACGTTTGATGAAGAATTTTCACCCAAACTAGGTCACCTCAGTATTGACATCCCTTGGAACAGAGACAAAATTCCATCACACTTCAATAGCAATAACTATGGAAAGCAGATGCTTAGGTTCAGTCTCTTCAATAGAGATTCCTACCACATAACTAGGCAGTTCAACTCCAAGCAAGATGTATTCAAGAAAGCTTTTCACTCACAAAGGTGAGTGAGTGGTTAGCTTTAAACACAAACCTTGCAACCATGAATGTACTTCACTAAGACCATGCTTTATTTCCATCCAAAAAGCCTAAAATTGCTCCAGAACCCCTATGTGAAGTCTGTACAGAGCCATTGCACAAGGCTAATAAAACTATGATTTTCCACAAAAAGTCCAGGAGGCTTATCACATGTAGTCTCAGTGGCGAGAAAGAGCATTGAAGCTAAACATGCTTTCCTGACTGCTGCACTTACATTGTTCTTTTGAGTTCTTAATGTCTCATTGACTTCATACACTATCAGTCTGTTTTCAGTGTGAAAATCACTCTGGCAGTTGTAAATGACCTTGAGCTATTTCATTATATGGCCTTTTGAATACAGGTCCCTAGTTGTCACTTCCTTTCATCTTTAAAACCTCAAGACATTTAAGGGCCAGTTTCATGTCAAATTTAGTGTCAGCTATACAAATCCACCTCTTACACTACCTGAACATCAAGTCAGGTTTGTGTTGAATGCAACAGCTCAAGACTACTTACTAGTTCAGTATATCTCAGGTCAGATTGGAAACTTATCCCAGCTTTCTTACTTGCCATTCAGTAAATCCCAGTACTGACAGCACTATTACTGAGACCAAATTAATGTAGAGACCAAATTAATGGTTCCAAATAAGAGTATTGCATCATTGCCACTATTCCAAGGAAGTGATTGTTTGACTGACAAGTTTCACTGCATATTCGAATTTCTCACCTACTGGGAAATTGAGGCATGTAAGTGACAGTCTGTTCATCTAACACAGAAACAAGGCAAGCTTGAACCAGCCTTTCCTTCTGCTAGCAGCTTGGAAATTAAGTTTACATACCATCAACTACATTAGAGTAGATGTATGCCTAATATTAGACATTTATGTAACACCTGTTAAGAATTTCACTGGGTTAGAAATACTCACAGGACATGATAATGAATTTAAATACAATTTTAAGTTGAACATATTTAAAGACTAACTTGAAATACAGACATAAGTGCAGTTCTCACCGGAGGACAGAGATTCTTGTGAAAGAGAGGTTTGTTCTGCAACATGAGAAGATTGCAACTGGCATTGAGGAGGAGTCTGTGTACTTGCTGTGGAAAAACTCTGGTTATATCCTGCTGAATATGAAGAATCCTCTTTAATTTCCTGGTCTTTACGTGGAGGCAGTGGTGCATTCACTTTAAATACCTACAACATATTTGAAAACAAGTGCTTAACACCACCAGCTAAAGTCTCTGCCTAATGCCACCACCCTGCTATGGTTTGAACCCATATGCCTTTCACCATATTTCTAGAACACCAGCTGTTTCTTAGAAATAAGAAGAATTGTACATCAACCCATCCTTTTCCCTCAGTAAACTTACAGAACACACTCCTTTTTATGTAGCTACTACCCAAGGAACAGCTTGATTGACCATAGCTACTGTATTCTGTCAGTAGAACAATTACCATACAACAATATTTTCCTTCTATGGGAAATTCACTCTGAAATCCACTGACTACCTGTCCTACAGCTCAAGCTGAAGCTGGGACAGTCTATCCTGAGATGAGATATTCACATTTGGGAAGAATGAGTCTTTCTGCATGTCTTGGAACATGATATAACACTGCTATCCATTCAAAACACCGTATTAGACATCATTTGTCCCTTCAGTAAATGGAGGCTTCATCTTTCCTACTCATTTAACTTTCCCCAAGAGTAAGCACTTAACCTAAGTAAGTCTTGTCATTCAAATGTTATAGTCTGGGCGCTACAATGATGAGCAGATATTACTGTTAGTTAAATTTAATAACCCAGACTCCAGTCACTCCAGTGACTGTATTACTTTATAGCCAATAACACAATTACCAGGAATAATGCTGTCAAAAGTGACAACCAGTATCAATGTCCAATACGTAAAGTCTGTTTTGATTAAAAGGATCTAACTTTCACATAAAGAGCTGTCAGCACTACTGGTACTCAGTGTACAGGTATATCTAACATTTTCCAAGGCTATAAACTCTCTGAAAACACTTGGACAAAAGCCACAGCTAGATGATGCAAGAAATAGCTTAACAATTCTTGCCATTTGCAGATCCCCTTATGATTAAAAAAAACAAAACTTTTTTCAGGGTCAAGAAACCCAGTATTGCCTCTAAGAGGCAGTAGAAATGCCTCATGATACTGAGGTGTTGAGCATAAATTTTGAACCATTGTAAAGTTAAACAAGCTGTTTTGTTTTGAATTTTTGATCACTTCATCTGGTAAATGAAGTGATCCAAAGCTATACTTTTTCTAAAAGAAATTTGAGAATGCAGGGCAGTCAGGCTGTCAACACCCTGAAGAATTTGTAACAAGTGGTCTGCTTTTTCCTACAGTGAGAGTTACAGGTGGAATTCAAATCAAGTACTAGGGCTACAGGTCAAGCTTGCCTTTAAGTTTCCATAAGCACAATAGCAGCAATAGGATGTTTGAGGACTCAATCAGGTACTTCCATTATTGTCATTGTGATACCACTATTTGGCAGGGAGTCATCCTGGCTATCTACTCAAGTCCAGTGGCTGTGCTTTCCTGGCAGTAATGAGAATCTAAGCAATGTAGGAAGAAGAAAACCCTGCACTGCAAAGTTCAAGATTTCTACCACTACAAGAAGAATAAACATGCTCATGACTTAGTGACAGATGTTTGCCAGGTTTACCCAAAAATTCCAAGAGTAATCTCAGACATTTAATGTCTCTGAAAACATGGTATTAATTCAAGTGAACTTTCAATGGTATTGTTATGAACAAAGCACTCTGAACACAGCTAGCAAGTTCAGACATGACCAGAACATCTGAGACCAAGACTCCATATTTATACCATGACAGATGCCCATCTTGTAGACTGGGTCCCCAAAAGATTGGAGTTCCTTAATCACAGCATGCTGCCACTTCACTTTCAGGAAAAATCACCATCTAACCACTTAAGCATAATTTAAACACATCCTGCTTAGTAAAAGAAACACCTCCCTAGTATGAATTGCCTTATTTGTAATGTGTATCACAATTCTGTGCCTCTGAGGTAGGCTCAACTTGAATCTCTTCTACAAAAACAGAAAACTAAGTAAAAAAACCCCAAAAATCAATGCAGTGATTTTACTACAGCCCACACCAGGATGTCAAATTTTAGTTAACTCCTGTGATTTGAAAGGCTATTAGATACCTTCTTCCACCAGTTTCTGCCACATACAGCTCAATACTACAAGTTGTGAACTACATTGACACTTCTGTTAAAATGGAGAATGCCTTTGGAGAACATAAATCTTGCTTTTGAGAAAAACATTAAATCAATGTTTCTATCATCTTCTGAAGAATGTACCAGAGGATTAAATAATGTTGCCTTCCCTGTACTTGATCTTAATGGAGACCCTTCCTCTAAACCTCTCTCTAAGCCAGCATTGCAGACTACCAGGAAGTAGTCATGTCTGATACTATTTTTCCAGGCCATACACAATTACTGATGTTCTATATTTGCAGTGAACATATCAGGCTGTGTGGTGTATTTCCTAGATAAGTACACTGACTACGTGTTAACAGCATAGGATAATGAGCAACACCAGTCTTCCAAAAAGACATTTTCCATGATTCCAGTGGGAGTTTTACCCACTGAAGCAAACAATAAAACAAGACAAACTCCAGCGTCTGAAAGCATTTTCTCCTAATATCGATATACTTCAGGATTCCCTTTCTCTAATGAAGTCTGTTGTATTTGAAATCTTTTCCCAAGAACAATGTAAGTACAATCCACCTTGCTTTAGTGCACAGCTATCAATCTGTTAATTTCAGGCCTGACTTCTTCCTCTTAGTTCCTTGAGGCTACTAAGATATCCTAGTATTAGGTTTTTTGGCACTATACAGAGCAAAACCACAATCTTTGTTCTTAGATGATCTGTTTTAAGTTCTGAAGGCAGAGAACCAATCCAAATTTTATTGCTAAAACAAAATGATCTATCAAGTTCTGTACTATTCCAAGAGAAGCCAGTTCCTCAGTGTTAGTCCCAAGTTACCCACATCGTTGTCAGTCGTGTGTTGCATACTTACAGTCTGCATAGCCTGAAAGGGAGCTGCTGTTATTGTGACAGAACTGCTGCTTGCTGGAGGAGACTGAAAGCTTTGTGCTGGTGGCACTGATGGCATGGGGGTGCTTGAAGTAGGCAATGGTGACTGTGGCTCACTTGGGAGGAGAATAGTTGCCTGGGGGGAAGAATAAGTCTAATGAAAGGTCACTTGATAATTATCAGGCAGTAACAGAAGCAGTTAATTTGTTCTAAAGCCTAGACTGGCAGAAGTCAGCAGTTTCTACAGGATGACATTTGGACATAGAGCGACAAAATAGCTTTTGCTTACAATTTCAAATCTTGCTGTGCATCCTCAGCAAACAGTACTTCTATTGCAGTCTCTGCTGATTAAGTGAAATGTGCCTATGAGCTACTATACATACCATTCTTTGGAATAATATTGCCATAAAGAGACATTAGGTATTTTTCCCTACCACTAAGGACACACAGTGCTTTCTGTTCCATTTAGGAAAGGAAGATTCTTTAGCTGATATTAAAAATTACTTCTCTTTTCTGAAGGAAATTAGGAAATTTAGGGGGTCTGACTTTTTTCCCTTTCCAACTTATTTGTATTTCAGATTAGAAACAATGCTGAGCTGTCCAGACAAAGTATTAACCAGCATTAGGCCTCAGCTGTGCAGATGAAAGTGCAAAATGAAGTGTTGATTTAGAACACCAACATCTATAGGAATCAGGAGTCAAAAGGAACATGTCTAGAGCCTTACCTAAAAAGATTGAAGTTGCCCAGGTAAGCTATCACAAGTAAGGTAAATATTTAAGTTGCTGAAATGGTATCAGTGGCTCAGAAATAAATGAATGGTCTGATACAGGGGCTGGGAATTATATTTCTCATTCTCTTGAGAAAGTGATGTTGATGCCTAGAGGAAGCCATAATGCACCTGCTATTACAAGTAGTACTACAGAGTTCTGGTAAAGCTATGAAACACTAGTGCAAAAGTTGAAACAAATGGATTTTGAAAGACTGGGACAAGCATTAATTCCAAAGCCAAAGTATTAAACAGTCATCTTAACCAAAGCTTCAAGTAATTAGCTTTAGAGATTCAGATTACTCATCTGACAACTCGTTGCACAACTAGCCTTGCAAAGTCAGATCATTAAGAACAGTAGAAAGCTTCAAGCACTTACAGTGAAGTCTGCAACACATCTGTCTCACTGAATTAAATGGAAAGATGTGTTGTGCCTCTAGTAAGCTCTGTTGAACAAGGCTTTGCAAAGCCTGCGTGTTCTATAGTCAGCTCACACTTGTTTAGAAGTTGCTTAATGCTTAAATGCAGAGCCTAGGGGTAAAGACTACCAGTCCTATGCTCACCAGGTACACAGCACATTGCCTCAGATGGCACTGAGGTGTTCTTGCACACCAGGAGGAGCATTGTCACTGTGGAGTGTATTTCCTGGTTGTGCTGGGACCAAAACTAAACTACTACTTTCCCTGGAAAAGAAAGACACTAGACTTCAAGCTGAAGGGACTAGAGACAGGCTGGGCACAAGCAACCCTAATTCCAAACAATACATTTGCATTCTACTAAGTCAGATGTTCTAATTTATAGCACAGCACAAGCCTTCTGGATGCATATTGAACAGCAAAATTATTGAATTCTTATCAGCACAAGGAGTCTCATAGCACTGTAGAAGTGATAGAAGGTGTCAAGAACTGGGACAAAACTGCTAATTCAAGATGTCTTAAGACTAATAGCCCTATAGCATATATATATTATAGTATAATATATAGTACATTAAGAAATAGAGTAAGTACTACATACACAGGATGCTGATAACATGTACGTCAGGAAAACAAATGTAAAAAGCAAGAACATTTCCCATTATAAATCTACACACACTCAATTATAGAGTTCAACAGGAAAGAGCCAGCTGTGTACTTGAACACAGCAACACAATTCACAAGGGGTCTTTAAGACAGTGATCTGCATAAATTGAAGCTTTTCAGCTCTAAACCAAATGTGAATGTTATTTGAATGTTAAACTGCACATAAATACAATTAAACAAGCAAAGTTTTAGATCTTAGCTGAATATCAGGAAGTCAGTATTTCTTCAGTTAGTGTTTGAGAGAATCTCAGTCTTCAGGTTACACACGGGTTTTCCTATTTCATGACAATACCCATCCCAATTTATGCAACCTCTTTGTCATCATTAGAGGGAATATTCTACACCATAACCAAAGCAAATATTTATGCTGCTCCCATGTTCCCACAAGAATGTGCATCACACTTTTAGTGAGCATTTTTCATCCCACACCCTTCCTGTGTCAAGAAGCAGACTGTTCACTTTGCATTCATGCAGTATTAAGCAAGACTTTTCCACTCATCTTTAAGTATTCCAGACTGTAGGCTATACTACTGCTGTTACTTGTATGTTGTTCAAGTACAGTTACTCAGGAGGGCCCCAGCTCAGCATTCTGCTAGGGCTGGCTGTCACAAGATCTGGATGCCAGTGAACCCCAGGGTATGGTACCTGTGGTGTCACCAAGTCTTCAGTTTCAGAGCCAGAAAGAGCATGATCAGCAGATGCTAGGGAAGTGTTTGAACCATGCAGCGCCATGGGTGAAGCAGCAGCCTTGCAAGGAGAGAATACAGAGAAGGTTTCAGAAATATAAAATGTAAATGTTTAGTTTCACAATACTCACACCCTCAGCATGTCTAAGTAAACCTCAGAATAATGCAGGGACTGAAGTGTTTTCACCAGTCAGTCAGTCTTTTAGGAATTCTTGTTTGTGGCAAGGAAACACATTTGAAAGCAAAAGTCACAAGACATGCAAGCACAATGACCGAATTTAAGGTTGATTTAACCACAACTACCAAAGCTTGAGATACAATCTTTAGTGTGTGAAAACACACTGTCCAGGAAAGAAACTAGCTGTTCTGCACACAACTACTGGCTATGACCTTAATCTATAGGTAAAATATGCAAACTATTTCAGCATGTCCTCAACATACTTCAAGAAAGTTCAAGTATTTATTGACCCTTTTCAACCAGAAAAGCAGCCAGCTTTGTCAGCATTTGAGTGATCTTAGACTCTCACGCTATGCTGTATGAAATACAAAACTACTGGCAAGAAAAACAACTCAAGTATAAGTCCATGCTGGTAAATAACCTATCTGCCTCTTAAGGGCAGCCCTAACTTCAACTTACTTGAAGAGGTTGTTGAAGAAAATCACTCTGACTTGGCAGTTTCTGGTCTTTCGAAGCTGTAAAAATAGAATGCATTAAGCAACATTTACTTTTAAATTCAAACACTACATATCATTTTAGTGGGTAGTTCTATTTTTTAAAACATTTAGTATGTGAAGATGCAAACTATTTTTACCATGTGGAGTGCAAATATTTAAGCCTAGCATCAGCAAACTACACCCAATAAAAAACATCAGGTTTTTGGCAAAAGAAGACAGGTATTCAATGACAAAAATATTTTAACACAGAAAAGATATCCACTCACCCAATTAAGAAAAAAAAATAAACTGGGTAATTGACTTCTACACCCCAAAATCCACCCAGTCTTTTAGCATGGTCTGTTTTTTATATTTAAACAAGCGGTCTTCAACAGGCTACTGATCTGCAGCCCAAGCAAACCCTATTAGTGCTTGCAAAATTTAGCATACCGTTCACACTTAGAGTATCACCTACCTACAGGACTACTTGCTGGAGTAACTGAAGGAGGTTGGGATGAACCAATGGCACTTGGTGAAGCTTTATCAAAATCCAGAATGGACTCCTTTAAAAAAAAAAAAATCACCATTGGGTAGAAAAAAATTAAACTCTAGATACAAATGAATCATTCTCACTTGACAAGCTGCTTTTAGCTAATTAGGATAAATTCATTCATTCAGTGCCAACACACATTGTCCAGTACTGTTTTCCCTAACCCAGTAGGTACTTGAGCTTTGTGCTACAACAGCAGAGAAAAACATACTTGCATGAAGTTGTAAGTCCCTTGTATCTGAGTCATCAGATCCTGAAGTTTTTCCCTTCTCAATACTGGATCTTTTGGAAGAGTTGAAGTAGAGCAAAATTCTGCAGCTGGCTGATGTACAGGTTTAGGCACCTAATACGGAGAAATTTTATTAAATCTAACACTGGAAGCAAGACAAGCTGCCTTATTCAATATACTTCCAGAGTAACCTCGAGGTGTCAGACACTGCGGGCCAAGCAATTCTGTGCTGTTATTGATATTTCCTGAATCAAGTTCTCACTTTATTAGAAAAAAAAAAAAAAAAATCAGCTTCCTGTTGCTACAACTAGTTAAGCCACAGATTTCATAAAATAGCTTAGATCAAAAGAAAGCTTGAAGACTAACTCCAACCCCCCTGCAATGGACAGGAATACCTCTCACTAGATAATTCACTTCAGTTTCTTATAGTCAAATGTAAAGAAGTAAGTTGCCTACATCTAGTGCAAAATTAAGTGCTTCCATCTGAGGAAACTCACATTTCAGTTGAGGGCCAGAACAAACTTAGAAATCAAAGCTAGATCACTCAAGGTTTACTTCCTCCCAATAGAGCCTACACCAGTAAGTACAGATCTTTCATTAGGAGGGCATTTCCAGAGATTCTGAAGAAATTGCACCTAAGAGCTATATTGCAAGCAAGTAACTCAGGATGAGACCAAAGTATTTCTACTAAAAAGTCAGATAATCTCCTGCAGAAAGTATTACATCTGAGTTGGACATAAATACAGCCATGCATCCACACAAGAGCCTAACATGGAGTTTTGCAGGGCTTTATTACTGCTTGATTATTTCAGCAGGTTCCTTAAGAGTTCATCCCAACTGATTCTCACTCCATTTTAAAAGAGGGAAATGTTTTGTCAGAGAACAAGTCAGTCTAAGGTAACAGAAAAATCATCATAGTAAGCTCCTTAAGCAGCAGAAGCCTTGTTATTAATAATACTAGGCTGTCTAGATACTCTAACATGTCTTTTGAAAGCAACATGGAGAAGAGGTAGGCCCATTAGAAGTATTTTAAATCAATAGTTTGTTGTGGTTCTCTGAAGTTTTAGAGAAACTCAACTGGCCCAAATGTTGAGGTGTGCAGGAACATGTGAAAGTGTTTATTTTTCTACTGGACAAATAGCTGTTTTGCTAACAGGAGGCTACAAATTCAATATATTGTATAGTAGTGTTATTGACCATTTGCATGGAGTCATTGGAAAATACATGGCAGAAAGGTATTTGTGTTATGATGACAATTGTCACACTAAATCCACCACAAACTGATAAAGGGCTCTTTGTCCACTTTTAGGACAAGCCTAAAAACACTCTTGCATTTCTTTTGCAACAGTTTTCTGAAACTAATCTCTGGCCTTTGCAGAAATTCCAGTAGCATGCACAGGCAAGAAGCTCACAGCACATGATTAACTCTGGAGGACAGTTTCTAGTATCTATGTGGCCCACATAATAGCTGCTTGGTGAGCTGTGAGAAGTTTTACTTTATTCTATGGTTAAAAGAATGCATCTTTGTACAGCTCTATCTTAATTAGAAATCCTGCTGCTCAAGCACTACCTTTAACTACCAGTTAAATACAAGTTTATATTGCTATAGTTTCCAATAATGAACCCTATCTACAGCCTTTAAGGATATAAATGCAGGACAAAAGATACAGTTGAATTAAGTTAATCTCAGCAAGTTATAGATTAAGTTACTGGCAATCTGGATCTTTCAGTCCTCATAAAAAGTCTTAATTTTACAGCACTCACTGTCATAGTCAATCCATTATGGGTTAAAGCGATTCATAGTTTTGCTACCCTCTTGCTCCTCACTACTATTTCTACTAAGACACAAGGACACTACCAAACTGGTTCTGTGTGTTTGAAAATGGCTAACAGAAGCTTTTCACCTTTAGGTGACCTAAATAGGTCAAGTCTGGCCGGGTCTAAAGCTCTTAAGATAGGCCACTAGCTACAAGTGAGACTTGTACATCAAACATTAAAAAAAAGGTTGAAAAAGCCCCAAGAGCATGGAACCAGAAAAGACTTGTCAGTTTTGCTTCCAAATATAATAAAATTCCTGTATGCTTTTACAAACTGTCAGAGCTTTTCTCTCCTTCCCCAGCTCATACTCTAGCATTCTGTTGGTAGCATTCTTTACTTCAAGAAGCACAAGAATGCAGCATTACATATATATGATATCAGGGCTTTAGGCTAGAACTGAAACACAGACTTTGTATTCCATACAAGTTATTTCCTAGCTCATATACATATTAAAATACACCAGCCAGAAGAAGCTGCAGTGAAGTGCTCATATTGATTGGCTGCTTTGCTGGTATCTAGGGGTTAAAAATTACAGTATTTAAGTGCAATATAAGCTGACATACAGAAAGGTATCAGGAAATTAAAGTATTTCAATTTTTATGCTTTTTATGAAAATAAATGCTTTGAAGAAGAGCAGGTATTTGACATACTTAAGACATTTCCTTTCTAGCCTACAGCTAGATGCTGTTTCTGGTAGCCATTAAAAACTAGCAGACTCTGATCTATTAGTCTGGCTCAGATCAAACCTGTACATGCTAAGATCACTTAACATTAACCTGAATGTTACTTGAACCACTAGAGTTGAACAGCACCAGTAAACTCAGAGTCTAATTTGTCATAAGAAATGTTTTTGAAACCTAACTTCAACACTACTTATACATTCAGCAAAACATATCTTGACTTACATCCAGAGAATTGACTGAAAGTAGAGGTGAAACATCTAGAAATTTTTTTCTAGGACCTGTTAAATCCTTGCAAGTAAACCAATGACCACTTTGGAATTTAGCTACTCAGAATGCCAATGTACCAGGGACTCCTGTTAAAGCTGGATTTTTTAGAGACTGAAGGTGTACTTACATGCAACACTAACATACCACTTCAACTACATAATTTACTAGTGAAACTTCATTCTATGAGACAGGACTTCAACTCCTCTTTAGCTTTGTTAGTTAAATGAGGTCGAATGGTGATACCTAAGCTGCAAGCAGTGATTGCCATGTAGATACACAATTACAAGTCTCTTTCTACTCAGAGCAGTATTCACAGCAGGTATGAAATAAATGATATGCTGGATGACAGCACAAACCAAACTGTTTTGCTTTCCTATACCAGGCCACAAATTCAGCTCTAACCAAGTTTACTGGTCCACAGGTTGCAAAAACACTTAAACAGAACAGTTGAACAGGTCTGCACATCAGCTCACCCTGCTGTCTTCAGCTCAGCTTCGTAGGTATTGCAGCTTAAGGTATGTTAAGTCAAAAAAGCATATTTCAATATCTCAAAACACAGTTTTTTTTAAAGACCTCAGAACTCTTAACAGTTAGTTTCAGCTCAGAGGGCATTAGCAGTGGCACAAGTCTTTTATCTGCCATGCCTGCATCCCTGCACAAGAGCATTTATATATTCTCAGCCAAACACATCCAGCTACAGCACTGCATTGCCTCTTTTTTATATAAGGAAGGGCAAGAGGAATGGTTATCTGAAAAGTTTAACATGGTTTTAATTGTTTCTTTTTATGCACCTCAAGTCCAAGATGTCTTTTTTAAAACCTGGTTATGGAAACTAGTTATGTTTACATAACACTGTTTTGTTAGTATGTTTACATTACACTGTTTTCTACTCATTCAATACACTTTCGGTATTAGGATTTCTCAATAGCTACTAAGCAAAAATATAGCCAGCTGATGCTTTCCTATGGTCGATGTAAATCTACTTGAAAATATGCTTTATTTTCTTAGTTCAGTAATCCCCCTTCAGTGACCTCACATTCCAGCATTTAGTTTAATTTTGCCAGTATATTGCACACCTGCACACTACTAGGGAGATTCTGAAGCAGTTTGCAAGTTTCTCCAGATGACTGGAGACCCTCCTCTTTACTCACTGCAGCACTTTTCTCAACCACTTAAGCCATCCATCTACTCACCCCATATTAAAACAAGAGGAAGCATCTTCTTATTAGGAAGCATCTTGCATTTACGGTAATCTGACACTAGAAATTCCAAGGCACCTTCCAAGTGCTTGAGACTATTCCAGTACTTAGTTTCAGTTACAGGAATACTGTGCATAGTGGGTGCACAACACCTATTTGTGCTCAGAGTTTAGTGAGGCAACCAGGTTTTCCACCTGTACCACCATCACCACCAGTGGACACAAGATTCTACTCAGCTTGAGTGTAAAGATGAATCAAGCTGAAACACCTTAATTCCATACTGTTACCCAGTGCTGCATTGTTACATACTTTTTTAATCTCGCATTCAACCTTCGGTTTGCGGTCCCGCCTCTAGGCACAAGAACATCCATTTTTGAGTTATGCCAAGTTTACTGACAAGATACAAGTTTAATCATTTGCCATGAGTAACATGTGATGTACTGGTTCCTGCTTTCTTGCAGGAAGACAGTAGTGGTGACAACACATGTACAGAGAGCTGCCCAATTCCCCATAGTTTCTTGCTGAAGTCTACCCTTAGATTAACATTTCTCTTAGTGACCTAAGGCAGATATAGCAGAGCTCTGTTACCTGTTTTGACAGTGATCAGTGTTTTTGCCACCCAGGCACAGGTGAGAAAGAAGGTAACGTGCCCAAAGGGTAGCAGCCTGTTCAGCTGTCAGCCATGCAACAGCTTTCATTTTACATTTCTATCACTATGTCATTGTTAGACTCCCAGGACAGCAATATGGTTTATGCATTCATCTGGAAATACATATTTAAGCCCTTGTACAGTTGGTATTGCTTGATCTAGATATTAGAGCTCTCTTGAATCAGCAGCTATTTTAATCAAAAGCCTAAAAATTACTGAAGCGATATTTGCATGCAGCCACAAAGTATTTGATCCCTGGATGAGTCATACCTGCTTTGTACTGCTAACAGTGGCCAGAGCCAAGAGCTGCAGATCAACCAAGTTAATTCTTCTGTCTTATGCATAAAGCAGTTATTCAAGGTTCAAACAAGAAATACTGTGCTGATGTAAAAAGTAAAGCAGGCCATCTTGCTATTCAAATATAAACTTGTTATTCAGATATAAATATAGCTGCCAGAATGATTTACCCCAAGAAAGAATGGAATGGGAGTCTAAATATTGGCCTGCAAAATACACCTAAGACACCTCTGCTAATAGGTGGTTTTATTCCCATACACTAATGTCAAAAGCTTATGACAGGTAATACTACATATGCCAACTCACTTCTTTGGGTTCCATATCAAACTTCTTTGGCCCCATCTGTTCCTTTGGCCCCATACTGGCAGCTGCCCAGGACTTCGGAGGGTTCTGTAACTGCGGTGATGACACTTGCTGCTGCCTGTCAGCTTTTTCCCAAGCCTCTCGAGTCTCCTGCTTCTTTTGTTCTGGCTCCTCCCTAACATGTGTAGCCCAAGCCTTCACAGGCTCCTGCTTCTTTTGCTCTGGCTCTTCCCTAACAGGCACTTCCCATGTTTTCAAAGGGTCTGGCTTCTTTTGTTCTGGTTGCTCCCTAGTTTGGGTTACCCAAGGTTTTGGAGATTCCTGCTTTTCTTCTGGTTCTTCCTTAACTTTGGTTACCCAAGGTTTTGAGGACTCCTGCTTTTTCTGTTCCTGCTCTTCCCTAACTTTTGTTACCCATGGCTTAGGTGATTCCTGTTTCTTCTGGTCCTGCTCTTCCCTGACCTTTGCTACCCAGGGTTTGGGAGACTCCTGCTCCTCTCGGACACGTGCTACCCATGCCTTTGGAGCTTCCGGCTTCTTCTGTTCCTCCTCCACACTGGTCTCCCAGGGCTTTGCAGACTCACGCTTCTGTTCCTCCTCTTTAACAGAAGCTTCCCAAGGCTTTGGAGAATCTGGTCTTTTTAGTTCTTGCTGTCTAACACGAGCTTCCCAAGGCTTTAAGGTCTCTTGTTTCTGCTTCTGTTCCTGCTCTTTAATATCAACAAGCATCTCCCAGGACTTTGGAGGTTCTTGTTTTCTAACACACTCGGCTTCCCAAGATCTGGGCTCTTCTGGCTTCTTCTTGACAGAGTATTCTGCTTCAGGCAAATAACGCCTGTTGAGAAACTATATAGACCAAAGAAACTTAATGGCTCCCAAGAACACATTTTGCTACTACAGTTCAGGTCAGTTAAATTAGGTCACCCAGCTACTGAAAACTGCTGACTAAAAGCAGAGCCTAGACAGTCTAAGCACTAGTCATAGAAACTATGTGGCCATGGCTTTATCCTACAACACTGCAGACTAACTTTGCTTGGCATGCCACAGAGAAACAGGGAACGGTGCTGAACAGCACAAGTAAAACCCAGCTGAGTGAATCTACTGCCCTTATCCTCAAAGCTACCTCATATTCCTAGACAGGGACAATATCAATACTGATTTTTATAAAGGTAGCTCTCCTTCTAGGGACCTAAAAAGCTCTCATACTATATTAGCAGACATTCTGCTATGCACCCCAAAAATACTAGGCAGTAACCACATATAACCCTCATTCTTACTGGAGATGTAATACTAAAATGTCACCAGATTCTCAGATTTAGTACCACTGGACTTCAACTGCAGGCTATGTTTAGCATCAGTAAGTCTGAGAGTTCAATGATGGTGTCCTAAGTTTTTCTATGTTACTACTTTGTCATGAACAGGAAGTAAATACATGAAGTATGTACAAGGCTCACTGGCTGAAGTATTTTTTTCTAGCTGAGTACCAGATGAGATCAGGTAACAGTGTTACCAGTAAGTTTTAAAAACTTCTAGGAGTACACCCTCTAGTGGGATACCTGAGAAACAGGGATTCAGTATTTCAAGAACCAGTATTCCCACTTAAAAAGAAGACACCCTTTCCCACCTTTTGAACCAGGTCTAATGATTTCTATGCTACTGACAGTCAAAGCCTGAGTTCGGGAGCCTGAAGAGCTGCTGAAACAGGTCTACACACCCATGTGCACACAAGTCTGCCTTGGATTTCCTACTTTCCTGAGAAATCAGAATAAGACCAACAACATTCTCAACTCTACCAATATCAAGCCTACTGCAAAAAGCTTAGCTTTTAAAGACAGCTTTAGTAGGTGTGTATTTTCTCTATTCCACAGTACACAAAAGATCAGTGTTTCCACTCTAAAGGCTAATTCTTTGTTTTATTCAGGAAAGTGCCAGAGCATTAAAGTACTATACTGCTTCATGTAATCCTGCTCCATTTATCCCAAAATAAAACCCCAGATGCCATAAATTTGGGGTTAAAAATAGAAATGCAACCAAGTCTTTAATGCTTCCTACATCAAGCAACACCTAGATTGCTGTTCAGACTCCCTTTTCAAGTTTAAAAAAGGGCTGCAGAAAAGCATTTATGTATCTGATAAATCACAATACTAAAGGCAAGCAATTAACAGTAGAGTATCTTACCTCCTGTGGCTGTATTTCAGATTTCATAAGCTCCATAATGGATTCTAGAGAAAGGATGTTAATTTGTTTCAACTGATCAAATGCAGAAAGGCAGATCAAACAGTATCAACTTCTTACATCTATTTAAATAGCAGTACCAATTTGCTAAACCAGATATTCTGAAAGCTCAGCCTGCCATTCCACATGCTATTTGCAGACAAGCTTTTATTTTCTGACTAAGTTTTAGACTAAGCTGCAGAAGTTTAGAGTTAAACAAGAAACACTTCATAGTATTCATAATTGTTACCTTAATATGTAACATTTCCCACACACCAGACCGTTCCCACATCTTCAACTTGCTCAGAAGGCAAGAGCACTCTATTACTATGATTTAAAGTTTTTCCTACATTATTAGCTAAAATATGGCTGCAAGCTCTACAGGTTCCATTTCAGTTTCTACACTGCAAGTAAGCTACAGCACAGCATTAGATTTAGCACCAAGCTATGCAAAGTCAGTGCTCAGTTCAAGCCTTTCCCAACACTGATATAAAAATTGAACCCTAATATTCCACCTGGTTCTTTGGCAGACTCTCCTTTTGACAGTTGTCTGGTTTTCTCAGGTTTTCTATTTACTTCTTCCAATTCTTTTACTGGCACAGTGGTGCGAGGAGTTGGAATACTTTCAAAGTAGCCAGAGTCTAGAAGTTTGGATAACAGGTCCTTCATGTGTTTATCTAAAGAGCAAAAGCCCATAAAGTTAAAATAGCAAAATCTGAAATAAAAGGGGATTCAGATTAGAGATTAAGACTCGTTGCTTCCTCCCTTTATATGAACTCCAGTTTCTCCAAGTTCACACATCTTACCAAGCTATAGCAATAAAGTGTTTTAGTAAAGAAAATGATTTATTAGACTTCAATCTAATGCAATTGAAAATATCTTTGCAATCCCAGGGCAAGACTGCAGCTTGTGTTTAAATGCCCACAAGGTAAACACTGAGCCAGCTGGTCTCTCACATGCTTAGAAAGAGCTTTGTTTTACCATGTAGAAGCTAGCAAGCATTGATACTAAAGTCATGTGAGACTCTTAACAGAGGTAAAGCTAAACAGTCACAATGGAACTACTCTACAAGACACTCTTGCTGGTACCAGGATGGTGTCTCAAAGAAAAGTTAAGAGCTATAGAAACAAGCAGGGGAAATGCAAGGGACTGATGCAAGACTGAACTTGTCTGAAGCTGGAAAAATTCAGAGTTCACATGGTTGAACAAAAGCTTAACTGTGTACTCTGAGAAGCACTACCCAGTTTGCTCCTCTGTGCAAACAACAGATAGCAGCTTAGAGGAGAGAGGAAGACTTCAGAAGTAACAGCGATTCTAGAAATTATTTTAGAGGAGTTGGAAACAGGGCAGCTGTTGAGAACAGGAAGAGCATTCAGCAGGAGATCACTCCTACCAATGACAACCACACAAACAAGAATTCTAGCTAGAATTTAATATGGCTATAAAAAAACTACCTTCCAAAGCAATGAATGCTAGTAAAACAAGCTAACAGCTTAGCTGAAGTCTAGCTTGCACACAAAGAGATTTGAGACCGACACTAAAGGGATAGAGCTACTGATAAACAATCTATTCATGTCAACAGATATAAGGCTAAAATTACCAGCCTGTAGCAATCCAAGCTTGCAGTTTGTCCAGAACTACATGGGAAGATTTTTAAATAAACAGATTTTTAGTCAGTTCAGCTACATGTGGAAGTTAAACAGGGCACACTAATGCTCTGTTCTAACAGTTTCAGCATTGTCATCATTAACAAATGAAAGATTCCTGCCACACAGCTGCTACAAGATTGGCGTAAGCACAACAAGCAAGGGTTGTTTGCAATAGGAAAGACACTACAACTCAATTAAGGCCAGTTTCCTCACAAGCAATAGTAAAGAGGAGCACATTGTGTATGTTGGCTTACAACCAGGGATTTTGGAACTGTGCCACAAATGAACGAAGATATGTATAGAGTCCCACAGATTTTGGTATGCTTGAAAAGTAAGGACACTTGCATTACATCAAAGACAGACTGCACTGTGCACAATGAGATATGTCAGCAAGTTGCATTAATGACTACCCTTCCTAAGTGCGGTGAGCTGCACTGTAGGGAGATAACAGGTATGAGTCTAGAATTCCTACAAAGAAAGGAGGCTCTTCAATGCTGTGGAACCTTCAGCCCAGGGTCAATGAAGCTTTGTAATACATTAGTGCACTCAACTAATCATTTCATGGCTGGGAACTGTTCTAAACTTAACTCATTTGCACATAACTATACAAAAAGTTTCCCATTGTTCTGTAAGGTATTCATGCATCAGATTTTGAATTGCTACCATCATTATTCCTTAAAAATATGCTAGTACACTGACTGAAGAATAAGTCTTGACTGGAAAATGAAAGCATGTGGCACTGTGATTCACCTGTACTTAACTGAACCAGGAACAGCCACTCATCCTTGGATAATCAAGGTACACACATCACTTGCAAGCGTTTAATTTGGTAGCCTTCCATGTGTATTCACTGATTTTAAGATGTTTAACAAGTACATAAATTTTAAATTTTAAGTTATATCTCTAGATGAGACACTCACATGTTGTTCCAACCACAGGTTTCTCACTTCCTTCTAGAAGGTCCCAGAAGTAGAGAGATGATTGTTCCATCTGGTCTTCAACACTAAAACAAATTACAGTTTTATTAGGTAGAATCATAGCTAAGATCAAGTGCAGCACTATCCCAGTACCCCTCATTTTATGACATTCACTAATGTCCAGCCTTCCAAACCAAGGCTGTCTACACACAGTGAATAGTAAGCCCTGAATCACTGGAAGCGATTCAGTTGTCTTTGTCTGCACAGGATTTAACCTACCAAACCTAACTTCTTTTGTTGGTCAATGTAGAAATCCTAAGCACTGTCCCACAAAAACACATGGCTGAATTTCATTACAAGCCAGGATTCCCAAACAGGGCAACAATTGCTGTTTAACAGTTGGTCACATTTACTGAATGAACTTGTACAGGTGCAACCAACAATAGCTGCCATTCTCACTAACTAGTAGCTAATGGCAAACTTTGCTAGAGGTCCAAGTTCCACCTCCTCCAGAAGACAGAATTTGCTGTCCACTGACATGTCTACTGTGATGAAACACAGTATCGCAAAGGAAAGGATTATGCTCTCAGTAATACTCTTAGAGTAAACTAGAAACAAAGTTACTTCATTGGGATGAGACACTCCCGTTGTGTAGCTTTTTATAAGCAGCCGTTCTTTGAAAGTAGTTAACTAAAGAGCAAAGATTAGGCAAGTCTAGCATGTGACAAGTGACTAGAATTTCGAGGCACTTAAAGAATTAGTGCATATTCAATCATGGCTTATCCATGAACTGTCTCAACTTACCACCTAATAACTACTTATTCCATATTCAAATACAATTCTTGCTGCACTACCCTACTAGACAGGCTGTCACACTAAGCACGAGCCATCACAGCACCAGAACAGTGCCACACGAGCACTGATACTGACATTACCTCTGTTGACAACTTAGGAACATGCATGACATTTAGTGCAAAGGTATCAAAAACTTCAGGCAATTTTTTAAAACCACTTTGAAGCCAACAGCAAGAGTGCCTCAGGAGCACCATCTTACATTCCTCTGGAATAATGCAGCACATCTGAATCTTCAATGTAAATGGAATACAGAAAGAGTTCTGATTTTACCGCATTTTTTTCACTTCATGAACAGTGAGACCTCAGAAGCTGTACATCCCCAGCCTTCCTGCTCAGGATGGTATTGGACTACGTCGCCTCAGTCCCACAGGGAGACATAAAATGGCAAAGTCTGTAACCTTTACCTGAGGCTGTAATTACTGCAGCTTCCCTCTAATGCTCTGAGTGAGGTAAATCTGTTACATTCCTAAACTCAGACTAAAACAAGTGTACTGAAGAGAACCTTAATTAATGATCCAAAACATGGTCTTTAAAGACATGGCAGTGTCAAACAGAGGACATTTACCACAACCAATGAAGCATACTAATTAGACAAAACCCCTTGAACTCACCTCAAGTTCTCATTTCTTTCTGGACACGTCAATTTTGCAAATCTTATGAGGTAGTCTAGTTCTTTAGAAGGCAAGTATATTGCACCATTCACACCACCTTTGAAATCTTTCTGTACATGCTCTTGAGTGAAGTTCTGCAGCACATACTGGACTTGAAGTATTGTACGCAGCTTTTTCTTCTCTGCTTCAAGCTTCAGTAGACTCTCTCTCCGCTGAGCCTTCTTCTGTGCTTTCAGCAGCTATTTTAATGCAAAATGCAACAGTAAAACACAATTTAGTGTGTTTAATCCTGTTTATTAACAAGATTCTAGAATAAATATTGAGTTCTAGTATTGATTATCCTACAATGAGGAAACAAACTATTAATTTTGGTTAGATAACAGAAGCTCCTAACTCTTCAGATATCCAGAATCTTTTAAACTCCTCCTTTGGAAGAGCTCCCCATGTATCTAATAATTGTCTACCCATCTAATTTTCAGTCAAACTAGATACTGGTAGCTTCCCTTGTGATATGCCTTTGTGATGCTAGACCTGATTAAGCCTGCTAGTTGTTTTATTGTAACAGCTGTTAAAGAATTGATAGAATTGATACCAGTGCACCAATCCAGACCTAGCTGACTTTAAGCATTTACTACAGGGTTAGAGAGGCAGAAGTTGTCTCAAGTTTCTCCTAGTAAAACAACTGCTCTTCACTTTTGAATACTCCAGCTTAAAGGATACAGCAGAATCCTACAATTATTTCTGTTGGCAGAAGACTAAAACACTCATTACATACGGAACAATATGAGTTACAGAACACATTCAGAATATGCATTCAAGTTTCTCATCATGCACTAATAGAACTACCTGGCAGAAGCTAGCCAAGTAACTGCAGAATTTAAAATGCCTCAATATCTGTCAAGATCTATGAAAATTTTGTTCCCTACAACACACTGCAAAGGATGCAAGGATGCTGTTGTCAGAATGGCCCCTAGTGTTCCAGTAACAGCTATTGGCTGTAGAATCCAAGGTACCAGTCCTTCAGCATTCTGTAGGAGGCAGAGAAATCATGCCAGAGCAGTGACTCATCATGTTTAGCTTCCCTACCTCTACCTTGGATCAAATCTTCCACAAGTGTAGAATTTGCTTAAGCCAAGAGGCCAGTTTCTTCAAGGATAAAACACTTGCTTGCATAAAAATAATGTATGCAGTGCTTTAAATCCTGAACAAAGATCCAAATAAAGCACTAAATCTGTAACTTGCCACAATTAGAGACAACTATAGCAGACTAAGTAGCAAACTCCACAAGCTTCAGTTAAATTTTACTGAGGGATGTACTTATCATTGAAGTCAAAGTGATTTAATACCAGCACTTTCTCTCAGCAGAAGCATTAAAAAAATCCGTTTGGAAGAGATCTTGGGACATTGTCTAGCCCAGCCTCCAGAAAGGCTACAGTGAATCAAGAACAGATTGCTCGGAGCTTTGTGCAGTCAGGTGTTGAAGAAATCCAAGAACAGATTTTACCACTTCCCTAGGAAGCCTGCTTCTAATGTTTAATCACTCACTGAGTGACCATTTCCTCCTACCTGGTTGGCATCTATTTCAAGTAGTGATAATTGCTTCTCTTACCACATCTCTCAGCAAAAATCTCAGCTGCACCCTTTCAGTATTTGCTGTCTAAAGGATAATAGTGCATCTCCTGGCAAGCCTTCACTTCACCAGGCCCAACAAGCCCAGTTGTTCCAGGCTCTCCTCACAGGTCTCATTTTCCAGGCCCCAGCCATTCAGGGGGCCACCACTGGAGGCATTGAAGCTTCTTTAGCCTTTGCCTACCAAGCGATCAGAAACCAACAACTGGTTATCAAGCACCAGATAATAAGTTCTCCTTAAGCAACTGATCCTCAGCCTACGCCTAGTGTAGCCATTAAAGTAGTAGCAAAAAATTTTGCAGTTACCTTCCATCAATATAGAGAAGAACAATTATACTTACATCTTGGCTAAGCCCTGAAAAAGTCTTCTGAAGCTCCTTGGCAAATTCCAGGTTGTGCACTACTTCATCATATTTCTCTACTGCCTCCTACAAAGGAATAGATAAAAATGTATTTTTCATGCTTAAGACTACTGATTGCCACTCTATTGCCTTGTACTGAAACTCTCATTGTGAAGTTGTCATTTCATGTGGTCTTTTCAACTGTAGTTTTTTAAGATTCTGTAGCTGGTACTTTAACTTTAGTTGCAAATATCATTCACCCATAACTGTCTGACATGCAGTTCAAAGCCAGCTCATACCAACAGACAGATATCCTACAAGCTTGCCTATAGAGGTCTTAGCAATCAGAGGTAGACAGCTATTTAAAAATCAGACTAGTCTGAAACCCTGGAAGAAATACAGGAGAAGTTCAGCACAGATCTTCTACCCTCAGCCTTAACTGAATGCCTTTGATGAAGATTTATACAAACTTTAGAAATATACAAGGCAAGTCATACTTCCAGAAGAAAGTCTAATTTAGTTTTCACAAAAGATGCCATGTTCCTGTCTTCACACTAATGGCTTTAACCAGTATTTTACTGGCTAGTCATCAAAAATACTAGTTGCAATAGATTATTAACTGCATTTTGCATACCCCATTTTTAATGGGTCAGTTCATTTCTCCAAGTTCCCTTGATGGCTCTGAAGATAGCAAAATGCTGTAGTTCGGACATGCTGCCCATATCTTCACACCATGAAGCATGCAGCAACAAGTTTAATTCCAGTTGTTCACATGCACTTTACAATCGGTTTGGTTTAGGCTCCTGACATGGTATCACAGGTTTTTCTAGAACAGGCCCATCAGTCTAATATAAAGCTCTTTCACAGCAGTGTTAGCGTTTAGTGTTTCATCAGTGCAGTGACAAAAGCTTAATCTACTGTCCCAATAAGATTTGGGACATCTGCAAATTCCATATGTGTTCCTAAGCAACTGGAAAACAAGTTATATGTTCATTTGTTCAGTTGGATTGCTGTTACTTTTATTTCTTTGTTTGTGGTATACTAGACATTACCCGGACCAAGCTACTCAACACGAAGTGCAAGCTCTCACCTGGTACTTTAGGTTGTCTTCACACAATTTACCAAGCAGCTTTGAAGTACTATTTAGCAATTCACTTAGCACTAGAGAGAATGACTTTTAAGAATCCAAAGCCCACACATTTGAGGAAGGCTCACAATTAACACTAACAATTTACTAGTCAGGTTACAGTAATTGGGCTTCTAACAACACAAATTGTAGAGTAAACCTCCCCACCTGAAAACATCAAAAACAGCTACCACTGCTCTCATGACAAGCTGTGCCTCAGCCCACAGGAAAGCATTACCTTTCTTCTGTCACACCTGTTATTAGCATTCATTAACAGCATGTTGGAAGAACAGTACTGAGGAAAATCTGCTCAGCTTGCAAAACAGCACAATTAGAGCATTTAACTTGCTGGAAGCTCCTCATTTTTGAAACAAATATTTCTTAATGTAAGGCTAGCACACACGTATGGTGCATGTCTGCCAGACCTAAAGTAATTACAGCTTAATCCAAATTGCTTGCAAAACAAGTTCATCAGACATGCACTTCTTCCTCTATGTGAGAAAATTAAAACTATAGACATCAAGTTACAAAGAGCACTATTGTATTATAGGCAGCTGGTTTCTTTAGGCGTTAAGATCTATTAAGCTCTACTCCAGCTTCAAATTGTATATACACCACAAATTTGCATCTGAAAATTACAAATGCAGTAATTCTATATCTTAACCACTGAAGCAGAGGACTTCACAAGATTATTAATTAAATATTGAGTATGCTTCTGCAATAGTCACCTGAACAGTCTGACTACCCCTTGTCAGTTCACTATAAAGACTGAACCTAATTCTTCATTTTAGTAGCCTAAGATACTCAAATTTAAAAAGTGAAGCCATATCTAGGAATACTAAATTCCAGTAACCAAGTTAATGCCACTTTTCAAACACTGTCACCTAACAGCTTTTCATAGTCCAGGGCATACACCAAAGTAGTCAATATATTCAAGGCTGTTCCAACTTAGAGAACATTGTTCAATAGTCTCACTGTTCATGGCAGCAAACAGATTGTGAAGAACACCTACGATCTAAACAAAAAAGTTTCTTGCCCATCTGATTAAAGAGGGAGTCGAAAGGAATTGAAAGGTCATCAACCTACTCCAAACCATCAGATTTAATTAATTTACTTTTGTACTTGAAATAGCAAGAGACCACATCAGATTTTGCAGTTAAGTACTAAATGACAATTTACTCCAACAGGTTTACTCTATTTCTAAGGAGTTGCCATCTTCCCCTCTTATCCCATTTATGTCTAACTCTTTTACAAACGATTCACAGTAAGAAAATAGAATTTCTGTTCTCAGACTGCTGTACTGTGATAAAGTTAGCAATTAATGACATTTTTCCAGCTGGCTCATTAGCAGGATCAGCTTTATCACTGAAGTAACAGTAGCCCTCATCAAACAATTACTCTTTAGCAGGTGTCCACTACATTTTAAAAATGTGATTCCTAGATTACTAGATCAATAAACTCTTTGGATTATGTGACACAGCTATTCAGCACTGCTAAAGCTTTTGTGTTACAGAAACTTGGTTTCAGATCTAGAATCCATTCCAGACCAAGCCAAAAAAAGACAGCTACTTGTAACCAACAGCACTGTACAGATAACAGACAATTTCAAGCTATAGCTGCTAATTAAGAAATCATGAGGATTAATTAGCCACCTCAGAATTCTTGAGGCTTGAGTTCTAACACTGCACTGCCATGTAGATCAGCTGCACACATATCTCATTAAGAAAAAGAGGTGCATGAGCACTGAAGCTGAGGCTACAGAGCAAAGATAAACAAAGATTATCTATTACTTCAGGGAATGCCATGAAGGTTAAAACAGATGATGGAGCTTATGGGCTCAACATTCAGCCCGATTACCAAAAATTTGTTAATTTGGTTTTGTGAAAAATATCTTTGCAAGCCTGTAGGCACTGCTTCTGTAAAAACACCCTCATCTCCTTCAGCATCCCATCCTTCCTGTCACATCAGAAGGTTTGGAGGCCTTCCACTCCTGCATAAAAGCAAGCTTACCAATTGGTCTTGATTGAGGGTTTCTCCCTTCTTCAGACGATCTTTGTAGTCTTCTAGTTTGAGCTGCAGAAAATTCAAAGTAGACATTGTACAGAAGTCAATATAAAAATTAAGTAAGGGGTATGAGTGAAATACCGTAACATAGAGTAGAAAATCTACTTGCTCTTGTTTCTGGACAAAGGAACACAGTTTTGCTATGCCTTTGTTTTGGCTATTTCAGTCTGCAGAACTGTCTACTTCCTTTCCCTATCACTGATCCTTCTGTTCTTATTTGCTACTTTTGTTTCATTTAAGGACTATTAATGCATTGATCCAAGATCTTTAAGTGGCTTCAAATACATCCTGTGTCCTTGTTTTAGTTAGGCTTGTTTAGCTTTCCCAAATCAAGGTGGGAATTCAGTTATATTATCCTTAAATAATACTTGTTAAGTCTTTCAAAAATTTGGTTTTGTTACATCAAAAATGTATAGCCCTGTTGCCTAAGAAAGTGGACAAGCATAATCAGGGAATAAATAAGATTTCCAATATATCAAAGCAGACTTTAAATGCCGATGTAAACAGTACAAAACTAAACTATTTGGCATTGAAAACTTCTTTAGGGAAAATTACTTCAAAAGGTGACTTCACTGCCATGAAGTCAAACACTATTCCATTTGTGTATCTACAGCTTCACTGACAGAACCTATAGGAGCATAAGACTAGGAATACTGTCTACTCATTTTAGTAAGTCACATTTATTTGCTGATGAGGCCATATTGTCATTTATGTGAAAACTAAAAGTACTAGAGAAATTCATAACAAGAAGCTTCCTTGGACAGAATTAGAATACAACACAAAGTAATTTTAATCACACAAAGGAAGGGTGCTTGTCTGATATTATTCAGAATTACAGCATGATGCATGACATGAGACAGCAGTAATACTGCATCTCCTGCAGAAGGATCAAGTCTTCTAAGCATACGGCCAGATGTCTGATCTACTCTCTCTCCTTGCCCTAAGACATAACTAAAAGCTTTTCAGACATTTAGAGTAGCACAACATATTGCTTTACTTGTAATCCTGATCCAGCACTGAAAGCAACAGCAGCATTATTTCTTTTATGCAGCAGAGAATTGTTGTAGCCTGGATAGCTGTTAAGATGGTTGCAGGTAAAGAAGGAGAGAGGGTTTTTGTATGAGTTCCACAGAGATGTTTAGTTCAGTCAGGCGTGTGGGTAGTCCAGGATCAGAGGCAAAGGCAGACCTCGTGGTGAGGGTCCAGGTTCAAGTACATGGGATGTTCGGGGCAAGGGGGAGTATCAAAGACCAATTACCAGGGGATATGGGGTGGCAGAAAGGTGGGGTTAGGGCATGGGAGCCAACAGGGAAACAGGGTGGGAATGACCAAAAGACTGAGGGAGAGGGAAGGGGGCACAGGCCGACCAAGGGAACGGAACAGGGTACATAAGCATTTGCTGTGAGAAAAGCTTTTTGTCTCTCCCTAACTGGGAATGCCTCCCAGTGTCTCCACAGAAAATGACATTCTCAATTCAAAACCAAGCACACAGCCTTCAGCCACCTGCCAATCAACTGAAAAGCCTTAGAATGCAGAAGTCTGAGTAGCCACAGCTACAATGTTTCAGGTGAATAATTATCTCAGTTATTATTCTTACCAACACTATTCTGCCCACCCCCACCCCCCCCCAGCCTCAGAAAAGCAAAGGTCAAAACAAGAGATCAAGTTTTGCAAGATTTCTGTATAAAAGTTTTCTAGCCAGTAACATTTGCCTGCATTTTAAATACATAAGTGAAATATTTATGGAAAGTGAAGGACAATATATATCCGATATAATCTAACATATCTACCGTCAGAGGAAACATTTGTTCTAACTTCCAATTTTACAAACAATTTACATCTAAATTAGTATCAGATGCATGTAACTGATGAAAGATTTCTGCAAGACTAGAAACCACGTTTAAATGAGATCCAAGTTTGTTTTAACCCGATTTGATCTAGAGAAGAATCTTCAGTTTTGATCAACATATATTTGCTCTCTATATACACCCATAATCTTATTCCAGCTATTAAAAATAATGGAAATAACACGAAATATTATTTAAAAGGCAATGAGCTTTACTATCTGGAGCTTAAGTGCCACGGACAAGAAAACCAAGTTACCTTCTTTTTCTCGATATTCCTGATCTTGTGTTTGAGGCAGATGAGCCCGTTGTCGATGTAGATCTCATACGCCTGGGAAGGAGAGGCCGCCGTGCTCAGCGCGGACTGCAGGGGGCTGGCGGGAGCCGGGCTCTCCCCAGTCGGGGTCACCTGCTGCTTGGCCGCCTTCATCCTCTTCTCCTCCCCTTCCTCCAACCGGCCTGAAGGTGATGATGGACGATGGAAAGGGGCTTGGGAAAGCTGCACCATTGAAATGGATGGAGCTGCAAAGAAACTCTTATTTCGCTCTCTCACACCATGCTCTCCCTTGTCAAGTTACACCTTTCCTAGTCACATCACATATTCAGAACATGTAGCCACAAAACTGAGCCTCGGGAAGGACCGACCACAATTTTTCCACGCTTCTGCCTCCCTTTCAAAATATCTGTAGCGAGAATTTCAAAGCAAGGCAAACTTCGTATTGTTCGAAGCCTCCCCATCCATCCAGACACCAAAAATCCTTTGCATAGGCAGAATCAGGCAGCACAGGGGATGATTCCAGAAACCCAATATAGTGACCATATAAAACTAGGCAGGTTTCCTGTACGCATCACCCACAGGGGAAAAAACTGCAAGCAAGCAATTGCAAATCACGCCGCCAGCCCGGCATCCGGGCTGCAGCCTGAATGAAAATTTAGAAGTGCCATGCCTGAAGGTATACTCCCTCTTCTTCTCCACCCCGTTAAATCGGATTTACCCTTCCATGACCTCCGCAGCAATCCAACCGAGAACTTAAAAGCAATTCAATTGAAAAAAACAAAAAACCAAAAAAAAACACGTTTGAAAAAGCAAAGAACTAGCTTAGTTACAACAGCATCATTCTTCGTGAGGAACTGGTCTCAGCCTACACCCATCCAAAAGACGTGCCTGTGCCACGGTAAGACACCGGCTTCCATTGGAGAGACTGTAACCTTGAGCAGAGAGTTTCTGCAAGAGATGCTCGGCCACCCTCATCTTCAACTACTTACGGACACCTGCTCCTGGAAAGCAATGACACCACAATTCTGCCTGCCCGCCGCCGGGGAGGCCGCACCACACCACCCCAGCGGACAACCAGGGCAAAACCTGCCTTTCCCCGGAACAGCCCCCGCCGCCGGGGGAGCCGGGGCGAGCCGCCCATCGCGTCCTTGCCAGGGATGGGCAGGGAGCTCCTCCCTAGGGGAGAAGGGCACGGCAGCCACGGCTCCCCGAGCGGGGCGGCGGCGGAGGAGTGAGGAAGAGAGGGGCAGCGGCTCCTTCCTGCCGCGAGATTCACCTCCTCCGCCTCCTGCCGTGCTGCGGGGGCCCGCGGTCCGCCGGCCCCGCACCGCCTCGCTCGCTGGCTCCCGCCTCCCCGCTCACCTCGATGCCCGCACACGCTCAGGCCCGCCCCAGCGCCCGCCCCCCGCCTCATATAGCGGCGGGGCGGGGCGGCTCCGCGCCGGTCACCGCCCGCCTCCCAATGGCCGGCGCCGCCTCAGCCGCCCGTCCTGCGCCGGGCCTGGCGGGCGGGGCCGCGGGGCGGCTCCCGTGAAGGTCGGGGTGTCCCGCCCGGGCACCGCCCCACAGCTCTGTGGGATGCTCTGCGCGCCCCGGGGAGTGGGACGTCCATCCCAGGAGTGGGATGTGGTGCTCCTGCAGGGACCTGAACGACGGCCCCGGCGAGGAATGGGGCGCCCAGGGACAGTGGCCCTGCCACCCGCTTGGTGGGGAAGGGAGGTCAGGTGTGACGCTCCGCCATGTGCCCTCCGCGAGGGAGAGGTTTGGCACTGCGCCCTGGCCAGGCCACGATGAGCTGTCGCACCGCGTGTATCGTGTATCGCAGCAGCCGCTCACGACAGCCAGCCCGGGGCAGGCGGGCAGCGCTCCCCGAACAGCCCCACGACGAGGCCTCCATCCTCCCAGGGCAAGGGGATCCCCTCGGCCTCCACCCTTTCACTGCCCGCTGTTCAGTCACACCTTTGGGCTGGTGGGGCCGTGAGGCAGGAAAAGTGTTGGTCTGTGCCTGAAAACCAGGGCCCGCACAAAGGTCCTGGAGGAGACTTGCAGGACTGTGGGTCACCTTACATAACAGAAGTGTGAATATCCTCTAATAATCACAGAATCAATCAATTAGATTGGAGTCCAGCCTGTGACTGAACTGTATGCTAGACCAAGGCACTGAGTGCCACATCCAGTCCTTCCATAAACACCTCCAGAGACACTGATTCCACCACCTCCCTGGGCAGCCCATTCCAATGTCTAATCACCCCTTCTGTGAAGAAATTGTTCCTAATGTCCAACCTAAACCTCCCCTGGTGCAGTTTAGGGCTATGCTCTCATCCTATCCCTTGTTACTGAGGAGAAACTAACTCTCCACCTGGCTACACCCTCTTTCAGGTGCTTGTAGAGAGTGATTAAGGTCTCCCCTGGACCTCCTTTTCTCCAGGCTGAACACCCCCAGGTCCCTCAGCCACTCTCCATAGGACAACCCAATGCTACCCAACCATGTAAACTCCTGATAACTAGTAAAAGCACTTTAAGTGAATTGAAAACACACAATAAAGTAATCGCAAACAAACTTCTGTTGACCCCTAGCAATCAGTGCCGTAGAAGGTATCAAAGGCTGGAAGAAGAGGGAAAACAGACCTTCCAAAGATCAGAGGACTAACCTGGAAATCTGTGTTTCTCTTTTTGTGGCCATTACCACAAAGAATTAATAAACCATATGACAAGTTCATAGCAATCCTGAAAGTCATGAAAGTAATGAAAATAGAGACATTTTGAAAGAGAGTAAAGTGAGTCAGTGAGGAAGGATTGCAAAGACAGGTTTTACAGAACACAAGAAGTATTTATGTAGTACATGGGATGGATGGGGGAAGAAAGGTTATACATAAAGAGAACTGGAGAGGAAAGGTTATACATACAAAAGATTGCTTTTAAGAGTAAAACAAGGAAATGATACATGATTCAAACACTAAGGAGAATTCACGGAATATTGCAGAATCAGATTCAGTTTTATGCAACCACCCATAGCATCCACAATCTTGCCACTTCTCAATGTGTCAAATTCTTTAATCACGTGTCTCAAAAATGTTCATTTTTTTAAAGCCCTGGCTCCTAGAATGGGGTCACTTTGTGAGGCAGTTTTCATGACTGAAAAGAAATGCTAATGAGTAAGACACAGCTTGTGTCTAGGATCAGCAGTGTGCTCTGAGAGTCCTTCCAGTAGATTTCTATGGGTTCTTTTCAAAGCTAGATCCTTGAAAGGTAATTATAAAACGAATGATCAGTTAATGTATTTATTAATAATAAGTTATAATTAATGTTCATACACCTGGGGCTATTCTGTAAGTCATAATTACTGCTGAAAAACCGCTTTAGAGTGCACATTTACAATTATTTGTATAGAAGAGGAAAAATCAAAAGGAAAATATACACAAGCCAAATCCATATTTAAAATCAAAGGATATTTTAATTTCATTTTTAAAAAATAGAGAGTAGCTAATTGAGACTAATGCTATATACATTTGTAGTATATCTGTGGTTTCTAGAGCACTGTAAAGAGTGTATTAGTGTGGTGAGGTCAAGCCCAGTGAAGTTAGGAAATGCCAGGATTAAACACAGCCTAAATTTATTAGTTTAATGCCATTTTGCAGATCCATTGTGAGATCATCTCTAAGTAGATGATCATAGGTTATGATTGTCTGGCCGTGCATCAGTCACAGCCATGTATATGGGCCTTTTACTCCAGGATCAGAAGGGGAATACACTCTAATGGCTTAAGAAAAATGTTCTGTTCTTTTTGTCGTGTTTGACTGATTCTGCTTATCCCCTCCCACTGGGACTGCCCTGATTTTTTCCAGTCCTAAAAGTTTATCTCACTCTCATTTTTCTCAGATTCCAGTTTCCACTCCTGAACCCCAGGCTCAGTCTTTCTTCCCAGGTCTGCATGTTGTCCAACTCAGAGGCCCCTTTGAGAAGGAGGATCTCCTTTGCACACACTTTCAGCCCTTTGCCCTTCCAGGTTTCCACACCCGACTCTTTATCCAACCCAGTAAATCCCCTCCTAATCCCAGTGGCATTCAAGGACATCTGTGTCCCTCTAACTGCAGTGGGCCAACCCACAGCCAGCTGTGGTGAACACTGAGACCAGGTTCCCGTTTTCATTCCTTGCCATCCCTTCTATTACTGCATTGTGAAACTCCAGGAAATCGATGTGTAGAATAAGATCAGCTGCTTGTTAACTTTAGGAAAGAAAGACAGACAGTGAAGATATTCCACCAGTAGTCTAGAGAAACCTACTTCAGTCATGGAACATATTTCAGACAGGAAGGCTGAGGAATTCTGGATCCAACATGAGATGAATACATTAGGTCTCATAAAGAGGACTGTTAGTCAGAATTGCACCCAATTTATTGGAAGAACCTGCAGGAAATATGTTGGTACAAGGCTGTTTTATGCTGCAAGGAGTTTTTTCCACATATGAACCTTGTGGCTGCCAGTCTGCTGTTCAGAACTCAGAGCCAAGGGATCTGGAGAAAGGTTACTCCACTCAGGGTCCACCATTGCCTTCCGCAGTGATTTCTAACTTTGGCAATGCTTCTTAAACATACACTTCTCCCTTCACAGTGCAGCTCCTTGTCTTCTGTGTTTTCATCACAGGATCCTGATTTCAGTTTCCTTGTATGGAAATTTTTCCTCCATTTTTTCCTCCACGTTCAATCCTGCCCAGCAAACTGGTTCATGTCCCTGCTCTTCACATGCAACCATTGCCAGGCACCCTTTCCTGTTCCCAGCCAGTTCCAGTTGCCTGGCTCACTTCTCACCAGAATTTTAGATTCTATTGATTCCTTTCCATTCCCCTCATTTTACTTTTCTTTTTTTCACTCACTTTCTGTGTTTTCATCAGAAAAATTCTCCCAAAATTTTAAGGGAAAGAAGAAAGAGAGCAACAAAACCGAACAGAAATAGTTACTGTACCTAGGAGCAGCCATTATAAGCTTAGCCAAATTTCACCTATGTAGCTCCAGGCCAAACGGCATGTGTTTAATTAAAGTCCATGTTAACACCTATAAGATCTGCAAGGGAATGGAGTCATGCTCCCTGGCAGAAGCTGAAATTCCTGTTTCCAGGCTGTGGGTTTCTGGAATTTCAGAGAAAGTGCAGAAAGGATCCTGTGAACTGCTTGTTCTTTCAGTCCCACCTGGAATCACGAAATGATTGGGGTTGGATGGGACATCCAAAGATCACTTAATCC